ATCTGAAATCATTTTACAAATACTGTAAGATGCATTAAAGTTGCTTCTGAAGTCTGACCACCTTTTGATTCCTGAGATTTCCTAAGTAAGCTCTTTTCTCCTTAGGCCTCCACACATTTCCTGTGCTAGTGAGGCTTTTCCCAGGGATGCTTCATTCTCTTTTATTCACTGGCTTAAATAGCATCATCCAGAGTGAGTTTCTCTGTCTAAAGCTGTGCCTTTACCCCACAGTACTATCTGTATCCTACTTTTGGGCCATGTATTACAATTGTTTTATTATTTATCTGTCTATTTACTGAACATTGCCTTCCATCAAACTCTAAGATTCTCAGGAGGGCCCTGGCTGTCTCTCACTGTTGAACCTCCAGGAGTATTCATCAAAATTTGTGAAATAAACAAAACTGCTTGGATTCACGTTCTCTCAGGGATATTTATCCTTCTCCTACAAACCTAATACATCATCCTTTTCACTGGCTTTTTTACATACAGGTGATATGGGGGACTTAATGGAAAGTAATGTGCCTGATATCAATTATGGAGTTACTCTTTACATTCCTTCCTAAAACTCAGACTACCCATCTCTACAAACATACTGCGACTTAAAAGTATAATTCAATGTCTAACAAAATTCATTTGCTAAGGATAATTTTAGCCTGATGTTAACTTTGATAGATCTCCAAGGTGGCTTAAAATTTAGATATAGTAAGAAACTGGGAAATATAAGGTATATATAGATTTTTTATTTCTGAATTGAAAAATTGACTTCATTTATTTTGTGATAGGAAGAAACAGGGCAAAGGAAAATGATATTTTAGGACTAAATATAACATCAATTAGTAACAAAATGCTTTTATGTTACCAGTATCCTTATTTCTCTATCTTCATGAACATTAGCATAAGCTTGCCACTTAAAGTCATTTTGAAGGGGCTGGGAATATAGCTCAGTGGCATAGGTGCCCACGTGGCAAACACAAGGTCCTGAGTTTGATTCTTAGTACCAAAAAAAAAAAAGTTATCTTCATTATTATCACTTTGATAACTACCTGTCAGTTGAGAAAAAAGCTTATGCTTTAACTAGGAGATAATCGTAAGTGCAGTAGAATGTTTTTAGAAGTCTGTCATATTCGAAGCACCTCAGGAGTGGTGCTTTTGGAAGGTGACTGAATCCTGAGGTTGATACAGCTTAGTCTTAGTTTACTATGGTGTTGTAATGACTAATAAGACGGCTTTATTCATTCATAGAAATAACTTCCATAGTACTGTACAATTTAGAGATGCTATCACATATATTTTCTTATTTTTATCCCAACAGCTATAATAAAGTGTTAGTGATGTCAATTAGGCACAACAATAATAGGTGGCAGTACCTTTCTTGTAGTTGTGATTTTTTAAACAGTTTTTAAATATGGATTCTAGTATTTGGAGGAAATACACCAACTCACCACAACAAAGGATATACAAATATCCCAATATTGAGTGTACATGTTTTAAAATAAAATATGTATTTATTGATTTCTATTCTTTATCTCAGAATCTTTAGAAAAACTATAAAGATGGACATCATTCTGGTTGACTTTTAAGAATTCGTAAAATGACATTATGATGGTTTAGCTCAAAAATGTCTCCCAAAGTCCTCATGTCCTCAGGAGGGGTGCTTTTAGAAGATGACTGAGTTCTAGGGTCAATACGGCTGACTGGCTGTGAGGTGTAACATGGCCACGGATGTCTCCTTGGCCTGACCTTGGCTTCCTGGGTTCTTACTCTCACTTAGGTGAAGGATGCATGAGTGGAGCCAGGCTGACTTAAAAACTAAAGATCCCTCTGACGCAGAACGAGGCACTCAGAGGAGAGTAGTGTGACGCAGAGGTTTACTTATAATATTGGGAAGGTGGAGGGCTCCAAAGGGAGCTTCTCAGGGTGGTGTCCTTGCTCTGCCCATTTTTATGGGGCTTTAAGCTAATCAGGGTCTTAGCCCTTGTTACTGGGATGAACTTGTTGCTAGGGTGGGCTAAAGTTTATGGAGTTAGGGGGTCTCCAGTGTATGAAAGTGGGTCTTTAAGAATAACTGTTCTATACCTGTAAAGGTCTCACCTGTGGGCTACTTGGGAATTGGGATACACAAGGCAACCTGCACTAGGAGGGACAGTGTCCCTGCAGAGGCAGTGTCCAAACCAGACAGCCCTGAAACACAAAGCTGCTTGTAAACTACCTGCTGCCCAGAGCCCCACAGAGCCTGCATTTTCTAACTTCTGAAAAAGGCTTAATGTTCTCCAGGGGTCCCTTCTGACCCTGTAGAAGTAAGGTCCGGTGGAAAGAGCCGATTCCAGGAGGGCTGCACTCAGAAAGGTCCATCTCCCTTCCCCGCTCCTCCCTTAACCCTTCTGCTTCCTGGCCTCCATGACCTGAGCAGCTCTCCTCCACCCAGCCCTTCCACCGAGCCATCTCTGTGATTAAGCCTGTCAAACGTGGACTGAGACTGTGAAATTCTCAGAATGACATTACTGAATAGAGAAATCAGCTTGTTTTTGTAATGATACCACATGAACACAAGAACAAATTTATTACTTTTTAAATTGCTTCTTGTATAACATTATCAGAAGGTAAACAGTAAATAAAAATGTGGTACATAAAGAGCACATAATGGTGACATAAGTAGAATAATAGTGAAGACAGATTATAAGATCATCTCCATGTCACAAGGGTCATTAAAATCACCTTGATATCTTCCTTATTTCTAGGATTCTCAACTTACACATATGGTTTTTCATTGTAGAGTAGAACATTCTGGAAAGTGTAATGTGGGGACTCTGGGAATATATAAGGCCAACTGTCTATTCTTCCAGTTGTAATGAAATTTATATTTTACCTTATAACCGGCCATTAATATCTATTAATAAATATTTATAATTTTATATTAAATATAGATATTAAAATATTTATGATTTTATTAATAAATATTAATAAATGTTTATGATATATAATGAATGCAGTTATCATGGAGAGCTGCTACTATACATACTACACCTGTCGTTTTTATTTTCCATTCCCTTTTCCTTCCTCCTCATCCCCCTTCAGTTTTAGAACGCTCTTGCTGTCTGCAAAAGCATACTTTCTTACCTATCTTTTATTTTCTCTTTAAATTATACCTTGGGCTTCTCATTTTAAGAGAAACCATGTGATATTTAACTTATATCTGATATCAATTAGCATTAGGGTTTCAATATGTATATATCATTATTGTAAAATGTGCTTTGTTCATCCTTGAAGTTTTTTGACAAAATTACTCTAAATTTTTCATACCTGTGCTTATACATACTATTATGAAGGGTCCATAAATTTCATTTAACTGTTTTAGATCTCAGTTCTTATCTGTCAAATTAAGTTGGATAGGTTCTAACATACCTCAGTAGTAAAAAAAAACTTGAGTTTCATATGCACATCCTTAATTAAAACAATTTTTGAACACTTAGAATAACCACAGGACATATAATCCACACTTCTCAAATGCTACAGAGAGGGTGTGCATGTATGTATGTGGGGGAGTATAGACAGAACCATATGAGGAAATTAACTTTCTGGAAACCAATTTTTCTTGAAGATTTGAGAACCAAGTTTGTGTTCTTCCTGTTAAGTACAAATAGTAGAATGAAATACAAAATTCTCACTCAATTTTAAAATTAAGTCGGGAGGGACATATTTCTGTAGGTGCTGTCTTGAACTCCTCTGCCCAAAGTCAGTATCTAATTCTTGCTGCTCTTAGGAAAACACACAAGTTGTTTTGTTTTGTTTTGTCTTTTTGAGACAGGATTTCACTATGCACTTCAGGCTGGTCTTGAACTCACTTCGTAGGCTGGCCTCAAATTCTCAGCAATCCTCCTGTCTCTGCCTCCTAAGCACTAGGACTACAGGCGTGTGCCACCACATCCAGCCTCACAAGATTTTGATTAAGAGATTAAGACCAGCAGTTAAAGCAAACTTGTCGTTGGTATCTACATTCCAGAACTTCTCATAGGGTAAGGTTTGATTTCAGTTCTTAAATCTGCCCCATCTTGCTTCTGCAGGTTTGTGAAATGTTTTTTTCTTTTAAAACCATAAGATCAATATCCAATTTTCAACAACGTACTCAAAGGGAGTAACAGTACAGTTGATTTGTATTTCTCATTTCTATTTCTCAACTTGCTTTACACCCCATGGGAGTTTACTTTCACAATTATATACCCTTTGAATATCACACACAACCGTGTTTTTAAAAGACTTTTTGTTGACAGAATCTTGTAATGCAGTTCAGGCTGGCCTTCAGCTCACCGTGTAGCCCAGGTTGACCTGGAATTCCTGAGACATTCCTGCCTCAGCCTCTCCATTGCTGGGATTACAGGCATGCACCACCACCTCTAGCAAGCAGTTTTAAAAGCAATTTTTCAAGTGTTGAAGAAAAAAAGAACTGAACCAAGGGCAGAGTTTTCTATCACAAAACGGGCAAAAGAAACCTTACATGAATTTTGAACAACGGAATTCCAACACCTGAATGGATTAGCGTACTCATTTATTTTCTACAAATATTATTTGTAGCAGGACAAAAAGTTTGAATACAAAAGATCACTCCGTACAGAAGCCTAAAAAATATTTTTACTCCTTCAATCCAGAGGACAAATATTTCCTTTTTTTCCTTTTAATGTCTTCGACTTAAAAATTATTTTGAAAGGGCTGCTTTTCACAGGTCCCCGCCGGCACGCAGGTGTAGAACTAAGTGCCCGCACGTGCGAGCCGGGCACTGGCTGAGCCCGGGCTGGAGAGGACCCGCACCGCGGGACCGGCCCGCAACGGCCTTCTGCCCTCGGCTTCCAGCGGACCAGAACTTTCCATCAGCGGCCTCCGCAGCTGCCAACGAGCGCTAGAGCTCCTCGACCGCCTAGCAACCCGGCCGACCAACCCGGCCGACCAGCCCCGCCGGGTGGGCGCCACGCTCCGGCGCCCGCCGGCTGACCCGGAAGTGCTCCGAGGCTCCGGCGGCGCGCAGAAGCAGGCGCGCACGCGCACACGCGCGCGCACTCCCGCCGGCGGCTCGGCTTTCCCGGAGGCGCGCTCCAGCCGGCGCGGCCGCCGCCAACATGGCTGAGACCAGCGAGGAGGTGGCGGTGCTGGTGCAGCGGGTAGTGAAGGACATCACCAATGCCTTCCGGAGGAACCCGCACATGTGAGTCCTCCGTCCCCGGGGTCGTCGGCGTGGGGCGGGCCGGGCACTGAGGGCGCGGAGCTGGGCGGCGGGCGGACCCTGGCCGCCGGCCGGGAGCCCTTCGGGAGCGGAGCGCGGGCGGGCGGACCTTTGTGGGCGCCCCGGGGCTGCCTCTCCGTCCCCGGGACGCGCGGGCCGACGCGAATCTGGAAGTGACCTCGGAAATACAAACGGAGCGACTTCGTGTCCCTGTCCTCCCCCACCCTCTCCCAGGAGTTCACGAAACTCGAACCACTTCACCCGTGGATCCTTAGCCCGAGTGCGTTTAGGGACTGCCGCGCACAGCGGAGTGGACTGTCTGTGGTTGTAAACACAACTCTTTTTGAGATGCATCCTGGGCGTCGCTAAGAGCGGTTACCGATCGTCTTCAGGAGCAGAAACAAAACCCCAAACCTTCAGCTTACTAACTAAAGGCACCCCGAAGCTGCTTTCGACTGTTGCCTCACTTGTCATTAGCTTGTAAAGTGACTCCGATAAAACCCTGTGCTTTGGATGTAAACAGCATTCTCAGGACTGTAAGCTCTGTAGCGGAGTGCGCAGGGAACAAGGCCGAGGAAACTTGGATACTTTTTAGCCTAAGCTGATTCATAGTTACAAGGAAGCGGACGGACACATTTTATCCCCGCGCTGCTGCCCCCTTTATCTGGCCACTAGAGAAGTGAAGGCACATCTCTGCCGCCTTCATGTCTCTTTTGCCTGGATTAGTCTGTGAAGAAAACACGATATTGTACACTTTCTGACACTTTCCCTTTATTTGATAAGTGAAAAGGAGTGTAGGAGTTATCTACAGTGTTGTAAGGAAAAAGCAAGAGTGTAGCTAGCGTCTTCCCATAGCTCTTCCTCCCTGGGGAGAGAAGCTCGAATCCACTTTCTTTTGCATTATTTTTCCTTGGCTCGTGGGGTTTATCCTTTAAACTGGAGCACATGAATTATTCTTTTTAAGTATTCCAACCCCTTCAGCTTTTTTTTTTTTTTTTTTTTTTGTATGAAAGAAGTGGCAAGCCTGAGTAAAATGTTCTTTTCCATCAAGGTGATGCTTGTAAGAGAATTAAGCCGTCAGATGCCTTGCTCCCTTGTGGTGTGCAGTGGGAGACATGTAACTGAGCTTCATTAAAAACCAAACACTGCTGACCTCAAAACACACCTGCCGCCTCCGAGGGCGTCCTCTTCCTTTCCGCTTAGGACCGCTGCCTTTTGCAAAGTGAATGTTTGGAAGTGATTTCCTGGCAGTAACCCTGGTGGTTGCTGGGCCTTCTAAAGAATGCTTTGATGCCTTGTTCTATGTCAGCCTCTCAATATAAAAAACATCCTCAAAAAAAGAAGTTGGGAAAATGAAGGGCCCTTTTTCTGATCATTGGCATTACTTTTCTGGAAGAAATACAGTAATCGCTTTAGTTTCTCTTCTTTGAGATAGATTAAAGGAGTATCATATTCTAAAAAACGGCAGGTGTTAATTGGTTTGTAGGTTGAAACTTGTCTCGGTTCTTCTGGATCACATCAGAACTCATAAAAGACTTCAATGTTCCTTTGTATTTTTACTGTGAAGTATTATTAACATTCTCCATTAATACATAATTTATAATAAGCATTTGGATCACTCAAAATTTAAAAGTGCAAGATAAAATTGGGCATTTGTAGTTTGAAATAATGTATTTTAAGCCTTTAATTCATGATTTAGTATTAGTTAAAATCTATATTTTAGTACCTATTCCTTTCACTAGAAAACCTTCAATAATTTATTATACATAGTTTAAAATGTCTTATAATAGCATTTTCAGAAAAGCTTTGTTTACCTTTAAAGTTAGTATCTAATTACAGTGTTAAATTTTTAAAAAAATTTTTACCTTTAAAGTTAATATCTAATTACAGTGTTAAAATTTTTAAAAAATTTTTCCTATTTTTTCCAAACATGAAGTAGGTGGTAAGTTTTTCAACCTCTGTTTTATTAAATATATTGATTTTGCATGGAAATATCTAGCCTAAAGCAGCCCTCGATGCTTTGAAACATGGTATTTACTGCTGTCAGATCTGGATAGGTTACCCTTTTTCAACCTCAGACTCCTCTTGATCTTCTAAGGTTGATGAGAACACAGGAAAATCACATCCACAGCTGTAGTTGCCCCTTGGTGCAGTTTCAGACTGCAAAATGCCATACAAAACAGAAGAACATGTGGAGCCCCATACAGTTGACTATTGGAGAATCCTACTGACCTGGGGATGGGCATTATTACCTTAGTGTACAGATCCTGTGTTATATGGAAGACAACCATTTGCAGTGTAATTAGGGCCGTGTTAAAGTTCTTTTACACCACAAGTTGTACTTTATTTTTTGTTTTACTTTATTGAATGTTTTGTTTATTAAATATTTAATTGCTCTTTTGAGTTGCTAAAACTGTATAGGATAGGAACTTCACTGTATAGGATAGGAAGAAATATAAAATACTTCTTGTATTGATAATATAGCACAGTTCTAGAACATTTCCAACATCAGAGAAACAGTCTGAAATTTCTGTGATGTTGGAAACGTTCTAGAACTGTGCTGTATTATCCAGTGTACATGTTAAGCACTCAAAATGTACTAATGTGAATGAGGAACTGAATTTTTAATTCATCTATATATAATGGTCCTGTATGCCTAGTGACTAGTAGATTTCATGGTTTCCATCTAGATAGAGGCCTAAAACCTACCTGCATGAACAGTAAATTAATTCTGCAAAGCAGGTTAGGGTAAGGGTTGTATCGGCAGTATGGTGAGCACTTGGCTTTGAGTCCCTTAGGAGTAGAGAGGAGGCTGGGTAAATCTGGGTCAGGACTCTTAAGAGGTCCTGCATGTCAGTGGGAACCAAAGACCTCCACTGGGAACAGGGAATTGATCCAAGTAGCAAAATGTGATTTAGAGGATGCTGTAGAACAGATTATGGAAGTTCTTAACCCTTTGGCCTAATTTCTTTTATGCTTATATATTTAATAAAAAAAAGTCACATCACGATAACGTGATACTACCCTCTGAATACTTTATATAGAGCTAGGATCTGGGAATAATTGGTAAACAGAATAGACATGGTCCTTATCCTTATTGGAACGTTAAAGAACTCAATACACAGATTGAGAAGAGACAAAAAGGGTAAGAAAGGTATTTTGGAAAAAGTAATAACAAGAAAGTCTTACTTAGTTTGAAGCGCAAGACAGTTTTTCTGAGAAAATAGCATTTAAATTGAGACGAGAAATGAATAGTTGGCTTAGGGGAAATACACCTTCAAAGCAGTATGGATAGGCAGTAATGAAAAATTTTGAGTAAGGGAATGATAATAGATGGTAGTTTTAGTTTGCCTGCAGATTGAATTAAAGAATAGGAGGTCACAGAGTCTAATAATCTTCTTACATTTGAGTTTTATTTACTTGTATTTGAACAGTGGTACAGTTGTGGAAGTTTGGATTCACAGTTTGAAAGACCTGTATTTGAGTTCTTACTTACCCTTTCACTTACTAACTGGATAGTCAGTATTCATGTACTGTGACTTCTGAATTTCCTCTGGAAACCAAGGCACTCAGCAATGTTTCATGCTGTGTAGGATCTTTGGTGAATTTACTAGCTGCTTTGAGCAACCTAAAAAGTAACCTAAGACATAAGAAATAAGCTTTTTGGTATCTCTTAGAGGGTTGGGATTTCAGGTGCCCCAAACATTGATGTCTTAAAAATCTTACAGTGTTGATAATTTGGGTAGTACTTTCTTGAGCACCTCCATAAATATCAGGAATCTTAAATGACCAGAAACCTAACTATAACACAGTGGTCAAAGGATCCTCAATCCCTCACAAAATAATTTGTAAGAGGAAATAACTAGAAATGTATTTGGTATTTATAGCACATTCATTATAGCCATTAAGAGTAATTATGTAAGAAAATGTCTGAATGGCTGAGTTTTGTAAAGAGAAAAGATTACATTCAGTGCAATCCTACTTTTTAAAGATACTTATGAGAAAAGGGCAGATACCCAGATACTAACAGAAGTGAATAATGGCTTTTAGTTTGTGTTTTTCCAGTTTTCTGCCTTTTTTTTTTTTTTTTTTTTTTTTTGAGAGTGAGGTTAGAATTTAAACTGCCAAAAACCGAGAAGGAATTGCTTTAAATGCTATTTTGCTCTCCAATCTAATGTCTAGGGTTTTAGGATAAATATTAGGAGACCCAGATTCTTAATTCAGCTAGCAATATCCTTTTAGGTCATCCCTTTAGTCACGTTGGACCTCGGTTTCCTCATCTGGTAAAGTGAAAATCTGGAGAAAGGAGGTCTGAAATTCTGTTCAGATTTATCTGCTAGGCATGGCTGCACACGCCAGCACTCAGGAGACCGAGGCAGGAGGAACACATGAGTTCAGAGCCAGCCTGCACTGACTACTTAGACCCTGTCTCAAAAAAGTCAAATCAAATCCAGTCTGAAAAAATGGACTATGACCTAAGAGCACAGGCATAAAAGGCTAAAATTAAATACATTGTTATTTGGAAACTTTCTGATCTAATTATTTTTATAAAGTAAATACTGCATATATTGGGGAAGAGCAGACCACTGTTCTGTTTGTTTTGATCTTTTCTTTTGTCTTTCAGAGACATGGTTTCTCTGTGTAGCCCAAGCTGACCTCGAACTGGCAGTCATTCTTCTGCCTCAGCCTCCTGAGTGCTGGGATTACAGGCGTGCACCACCACGCCCAGGTTAAACCACTATTTTTTAGGGTCTGTAACTTGACAAAGGCTTAACATTCACTGCTTCAGCTTCGCATTATGATCTATTAACCAGGGAGCTTCCCTGGCTGACCTACAGTATCTTAAAGGAAGTGTTTGCTTTTCATGAGAAGCCTGGAAGGTATTCCTGTTTTAGATGAGGGTCCTGATGGCAAGCGACTTAAATTCACATTGACTGGTAAAAGAGAGACTGATTACATTCCTGTGTTTCTTTGTACATTTTACTACTACTCTTTTCATGTGTTTTTGGTTTTTTTTTTCCTAACACTTGACATTCTTTGTTATAACTGTTTTCATTTTTCCAGCATACACATAACTGCTGAGTTTCTCTCATAAAATTTGAAAGATGGATAAGTCTATCCCATTCCTTTACTGAAGGTATAGTGGAGTGCCACCTTCTTGTAAATAAAGAAACCAAGACTGTAGAGGCCAAAGTGGCATTATATACATTCCATGTTGTTTTCAGTACAGTTGTTTCAAGAAAATCAGAGGTAATGTTCTTTTGTCAGGTGAAGAAGTGACAATCTTTGAAACTAGTTTGAATATTATTACTGAAGTAATAGAATAATCAGTTTTTCTATAAGTAGTTATTGAGCGCCTGCTGTCTCCAATGCATTTTTGTTTCTAGAAGGGTTTCTTAAAAGGGTAGTATATTTTTTAATTGTGCAGATGGTTTTGTCATGTAATTTAGGTACCAAATTAGTAGTTGGGCATTTTATTTCTGGTACAACTAATGCTTTTACATTGTGAATTTAATTTAAAAGAGACTATGCTTGGTAGCCAGGATTCTTTTATTCTTGTTACTGTAACATTTATACTTTTGGCTTTTGCAGTTCTTTGGAGTGTTATAAGTGGTTATTAGATGTCAGAAGAAAGAATTTCCTGAAAAATTAAGTTGAGAATTTTTTCTTGAGTTCTTGTTTTTTGTTTTTTTGTTTTGTTTTGTTTTTTGATGTTCTGCTTTATGTAGTAAAACCAGTACATCAGAAAATACATTAGTGTGGTATTCCAGTGTTTACCAGATTGCCATCCATTAGTTTGTATCCTAGATGTAACTGGTTACTTTAATAGTGAGTCTGATTTACTTCAAGGTTAATGTCACCAAATAGAAATGGAAACACATGTTTTTAAATACGGGACATTGACCTCAGATGCTCCTCAACATTGTTCCTGTTCTTCCTAGGGAACTTTATTTAGAGGGGCAAAGTGGTAACATTTTATCATAGACACAGACAGAACTCTTCAAAAACCTATTAGCTCTTTGAAGTCTCAGGCCACTTTGTTTCATTCATTTTTGCATTTTGAGAATCTAAAAAATACATTGCAGATACTAATAAATGAAGTGCTATTGACAAGGTATTTGGGAATAGCTTTGAATCTACTGAATGTGTTTGTCAGGACAAAACACCTTTTTAGAATTAAATTAGTTTGAAAGAATTTTAGTGACCTGTATCTTTCAAGGTTCCCTTTGCTATTTTGACAAGTCCCTGTGTCTATACTGAAGTGATTAGTAGAAAACAGGTTACCTTTGAGCTATCCAGGTGAATGTCCAGGAGGAATTTTATTTGAGATCTGCCACTTCCTCCCAATTTATAGCAATGACCTAACCGAAAGTGAGAGATTTGTTTTCTTTCAATCTGTAGTTAAGCTGGTTTCCCCAGCTGTAACTATCATTATATTTTTTGACCCTAGAACACCAGTGACATAAAATGTAGTGCCACACACAAAGTCTGAAAATCTGTTTTTTATTTTGTTAAAGATATATTTAAAAACCTGTAAACATTCAAAATATTATTTCAACTATTCTTGTTATTAAGAGTTACCCATTAAACAAGAAGTTTCTCTTTGAGAAAGGATGCTCTGTGAAAGCAGCAATTGTAACTTTAGAGTTGAAATGTTGGAGGGAGGCTGTGCAAAAACATCTTTATATGTGCTACGTTGCTTACTGTGGTAAGTCAGATGTCCTACATATTGATTATTAAATCTCTGCCTGCAATGTAAGTTTCCAGCTAAAAGTGGAGGTGGAAGGGCACAGATGTTATCGTAGATCAAGATGATCAAATTCTGAAATGAGTTTTGTGTTTTGACATTTATTGGGGTGATTTTTTTTAAAATATAGAAAAGTATAAGGAAACAGAGACATAGATCTTTTACAGACTCAGAAGAGGACCACCAGATGGGGGAGGACAGGAAGGAAAAAGAGAAAGGGGACATAAGAAGAGTTCAGAGTATTTTTTCATGTCTGACTCCCTGCTGTGAATGTACTCATTATGTACTGCAGCATTGACTAATAAAAATAAAAATTAAATACAGATTTGCAAAACACTAAATTTTAAAAATAGAAAAAAATTATTAAAGTGACACTAGCAACATGACTTTAATTGATAATTTGTTTCTGCTCCACATTTATTAGCAGGCAAACATAAACATTTGTTTACCTTTTTTAAAACATAGGAATAATGCAAGTGGTTAAAAATTCTTTAGAAGTAAAATTCTTCCTACATATATTCCTCCTTTGAACAGTTTAATATCCTTCCAAAAATTTTCCAACATAACTATATATCTTTTAAGTAAATTATACAAAAGGCTTTGTGCTGTATGTTGTGTTTAGTGTCCTGCTTTCTATTTATTCAGAGTACCTTGGCAACCTTGCTGTGCCAACACACACAGATCTACTTAATTTTTTTTTTTTTTAAGTAGTCTGGCATGTGGATGAGCTGTTACTTTTTGGCCGTTCTTACATCGATAAACATTTAGATGGGTTCCTGCTTTGTTGCAGTGAACATTCTTTTCATACATTTTAGGATAGGCTAAATTCTGGTCAGTAGAATTATTGAGTGCAATACAATATTTAAAATTTTTGAAAGATAATTTCACATTGCCATTCAAAGATTAGATCATTTTTTAGTCTTGTTTGCAGAAGTAATCCATCATACTTTGTTTCCCATATTCTTGCCATTACCACCAAGTTTATATATATATATTGTTTGTTGGTTGGTTGGTTGGTTTTTTCTATAGTAGGTAAGCAAAATATTTTGAAGAACAGGAAATATGTGGGAGGGAGGTTAGAAAAATTTTGAGGAGGCCAGTATAATCTTTAATTCTTTGTTATGTTTTATGCATTAAAGAGATGAAATTGGCCTGATTCCATGTCCTGAAGCAAAATATAACCGGAGTCCCATAGTCCTGGTGGAAAACAAACTCGGTGTGGAGAGCTGGTGCGTCAAGTTTCTTTTACCGTACGTCCACAACAAGCTCCTTTTGTACAGAACGAGGAAGCAGTGGCTGAACAAAGATGGTAAGTATGAGCCATCCCTCCCAGTTACTAGAGGCAGCATGGGATATAGTGGAAGAACCCTGGTCTGGGTGTTGAGATTCTAGCTTTGGCTCTTCCCTTCACTGCTGGCCAGGCATTTAACATCTCTCATCGAAAGAAGAATTTGGACTAGATCATTAGTTTTCCGTCTTTACAACTGTAGTGACTGTAAATCAATCCCTTAAACCAGATTCTAGGCTACTGGCTACCACCAGAACAATTCTTATTTTAGCTATTGATGTATTGGCATTGTTTGTAAGATTTTATTTGAGGAAAGCATCCTTCTTAAAGTATTCAGCTTTAAAAACAGTTTGACTGTCTTGGAAGAGGCTTATATTTCATACAAGCCTAACTTCTAATTTCGGATCTTTTAGTGCTTTCCAGACAGTGGAACTTGTTTTTGTAGCTATCCCAGTGAGATCGTGGAGATACCATCGTGTGGTAGTTAGGCTGTGATCCAGCATAGTGGCTTGTGACTGTGCTGTTGCGTTGTGAATCCTAACTGAGCTCTGGCCTGCTAAGTCCTATTCTTGCACTGCAGTGAGCAAAAGAAAGACCATCCCAATATCTGCTGCTTTTATTCCTCGAAACAATTCTTTATTGCAGCAGAAAATTTCTAATTATCTCACCTTCTTCTTTTCTTGGTATGCCCCCATACTAAGCCTCTATGTGTACAAATTCTGTTGATTCTTTTGGGCCTACCTCAAGTCTCACCTCTTGCAGGAGAGTACACATCTAAGGCTATGTCTTCTGCTGTTTTTATAAAACTTCTTGCAGTACCTACAAAAGTGCTCCTTGTAGCTGTAGGCTGATTTTGAACAAGAACTTCATTTCCCAGAGAATGTAATTACTGGTGTGATGGCCATTACCACCGGCCTACTCATACCAGAAATTGTTGTAAGTGCTCTGAGGGATCAGAATGAATGATAAACGGTCCCACTGTTCTGGAAGTTTATGGTTGAGTGCTAGTCTCTGTAGGGGCAGCAGATAAAGAGTATCATTGATTTCCCAGCACTGACCTCAACCTACTATCATAATAGATTCAGTAGCAGTTTTCCCTGTTTAGACCGTAAAAATGGGGATGAAGGTTTAATGAGAAATAGTTTCTGTTTGCTGTGGGATTGTTTCACACTGGTTTCACACTTGGTTAATACTGTGGTACTTCTTAACGAGAAGGCTATGCCTAAACTCAAACACAATTTGATTCCATGACCAAAGTTTATGGCATAAACTTTAATGTGTAAGTTGGGACACAAGACTTAAGTGTAAGGTATATTTGTTTACTTAGAGCCCATTAATTTTCTAGTCTATCACCAAAATGTAAGTTTCACTAATGGGGAGGTAGAAAGTAGTGCCATGAGAAATCAAGCTTTTTTTTTTTTTTTTTTTTTTGGTAACGGGGGTTGAATTCAGACCATGCGCTTGCAAGGCAGGCACTTATGCTGCTGAGCTAAATCCCCAGCCCTTGAGCTTGAGCTTTTTTTTTTTTTTTTTTTTTTTTTTGCCAAATGAAGCTTTATTGTTTGTATTTTGTTGCACAGAAATATTTAATTGGGCTAGTGTATAACTGACTTTGAGGGGCAAGGAGAGATAAAATGATTGTCATAGAAAAGAAGCAATACAAATTTTTAAAAGTCAGCCTGAGTATTTCACAACATTAGCTTGTGCCTATTCCTGTGTGCCAGCTCACATACCGTCTTCCTAGTCATCCAAGTTCTTCTTTGCGATTCTGTTTCTTGTTCTTCTGAATTCTGTACTGTAAGCTTTGCTATCTTCTTCTCACATACTTTTAATCTTGATAATCGCAGGAGGCCTTATATAGATGCTTAGATGGTTAAACTTACTCATATATCTGTTATCTTAACTTTTGACTTCTGATACAACTATGCATATGTATAGAAGCAACATTTGATTTTACTCTGTCCTGTATCCTTAGGGAATCAGCTTTTAATTCCACTTGTTTGAGGGGGCAGCATAGTTCAAGGTAGTATCACCTATTGTTCAGCTTATATATGGTCATTAAAAATGAAGAAATAGCCAGGAATATAGCTCAGCGGCACAGTGCCTGTGTGGAAAACCACAAAGGTCATGAGTTCGATCCCCAGCATCCCCCTGCCTAAAAAAAAAAATAGAATTAAAAATGAAGAAGTAAATTTCTGGCTTGACAGAAAAAGGTACCTGAAAATACTCACAGGAGAGTATCATGCCAGACTTCTCAGCTGAAGCAGTTAGACCACAGGGTTGAAGCTTGCTAAAAGAAATGGTCTAGCTTAGTCGGGAAAAATTACTTCATGAAAATGCCATTCCTTTAAAACTATTTTGCAGCAAATACCGTATGTATAGGAATAGCCATGTGAAGAAAGCTGACAGTACAAAGAATAATTCAGAATGTCAGTGTGCATGACTAGAATCCTGTAAAGGTGACCATTATTTCTGGAATGGATTTTTTTCTCTTCTTAACCAAACAGAATTCTTTCTTCTATAACCATAGCAAGTTCCTTAGATGTTTGCAACGCATCTGGTTTAGTTAGGTAGGGGCTGCTGGGGTTTTGGGGGGGGGGGGAGTTTTTTGTTGTTGTTGTTGTTCTTGTTTGTTTTAAGTTGCTGTAATAATAGCCGTATTTGGTTTGGGAAAGGAATGATACAGAATTCAGGTTTTTGAGAAATCCATGACAAATCAAAAAAATGAAAAAGTACACAAACATAAGAACCCGGAATCAGACACGGCACTGGGAAGACTGACTGGGTAGGGTTGTGCCCGTAGTCTGTGCTCCATCCTGCCCCTCCTGTGCTTTTTAACTCTGCCCTCTCCCTCTTGCTTACAACCCCAGACCTCAGTCTCTAAGTCATCTGTCTCTTAAGGGCCATTTTCCGCTATTTCTTCTCTGGCACGACCATCATTATTTCTCAGATGGACAAATGTTATTACCTCATAACTGGTCTGTCCTACTTTCAGGCTCCTCTGTGATCCCTGCCTTACATCCCTTATATCTCTAAAGAAGCACCTTAAGCAGTACCTCCCACCCTCACTTTTGAGGGAGGGTTACCAGAACCTCAGGACCAAACTAGGGGCGCGACATTTCTTTAAAATGTCTTTGAAAAGTGCTTTTCTGAGATACGTATTTGCTCATCTTATTTGAATAGGTCTGCTCATCTTATTTCATGCTGCCTGCACCATCAGAGTAGAGTTTAAACTCATTAGCATCATCTTCCAGGCTGTCTACGTCTCTCCTGCCTCACAAGGGTTTTCCTCCTCTTCACATTTAACATGTGAGGTTGGAGACAAGGAAGCTTGTCTACAGATTTATTTCACTTTGGCTTGTATAATGTTTTAATAATTGTTCTTAATTAGTTGAATGCATATTTAAAATCAGGATAAAAATCTGGGCTTCTGTCTTCTCTTGAAAAAATCAGGGAGCTTGTGTGCACAAGTTTCTGCACAGCCATTGGCTGAGCCTCCATCCTCTACTTTTCTTAAATGGGCAAGCCTTCTGGTTTACCACATCTCTTCACACCTTTCAGACAGTGAGATGTGGTGTCATTTACCTTGTCAGTTTCAATTTTCTCCTTTTTTGACATTCATTTGAACTCCCTGAGGCTTTGCATTTGGAGCCTTTTGATATACATTGTAGCCACAGCCCATGTTACTCCATTCTCTGACATGGCCACGTCCCTCTTACTTTTGTGCTTTTGCTGAGGCCATCCTCATGCCTTAATGTTGTGATAGGTGAGATCGTTAGCATAAGCACACATGTACACTTCCACTCAACTCTGTGAAGTATTTTTGACTGCTGCAGGAAGCAATAATTTTGCACAGTCCTATGGGAGTTCTTTATTCAGACAGCTTGCATAATAACACTTGCCAAGCTACACTGTAATTGATGATTTAAATAAGATTCTCCCCCTACTGGTTTGTGAGTTTGGAATAGAGATTATGGCTGATCTCTATTTATGTAGCACATTTCTGTGCTAAAGAGACCCTCACCCAGTGAATAGCAAGGATTTGATAAGCAAGAGTTCTTAGCTCAGTCTAGCTATCAGCTCTGACTCTGCACTGTAGTAAAAATAACTTTACCTTAATCCTGGCTTCATAAATAATCTAAATGTATTTTGGAGGAAGAGATTAACCAATGCAAGTTGACTCTGAATTTATTTGTAGATGCATGAAAATCTTTCTCCATCTGTCAGACTCACTGACCATTGTCAGATGCTGCTGGCTCAGACCTTTTGGGTAAGGCTACAAGAAGAAGTGATACATAGTTGGTGAAATTTAGAGAGTGAAGTAATTACAGTGAGCTCTTGGTTATAAATGTTTATTTTTGGTGTTTTGGTTTAGTCCTTTCTGCAGAGGGCAGAGTGTTGGCCTGTGGTGGACTGAAGTGGGCAGGGCATCTGCTTTGCAGGAGGATGAATCTGATTTAAATACTCCACACCAGCTTCCTAATGTGACTCATCAGTGTCTTTAGGCAGATTCCTTCACCTCTGTTTTGTCTCCACACAACTGTAAGGGACACTAGTCATTATCTCGGAGACTTCCCTGAGGATCTGGTCCTTTAAATATGTCCATTGATTTCTAACCTAGTTACCATTTGTTGATTATTCCTTTCCCATTTCTGCCATTCCCACTTCACCCCCACTTCTTGTGTGGGAACTCAGGAAGTTAGTAGTTTTTCAAAGAGAAAGGTCTGTGGTTGTGTCTGTTACTAATTTGGTTACTGATGGTTCATTAAAGCCATTGATGTTCTAAATCTTGAGATTCTAGGACTCTGGAAATTGGAAAAACTCTTTTGTTCAGGGATTGGGGCCTAGCCAGTTCAGACTGTTTTCCTTGCTCTAGAAGCATCCAGTCCGAGTATCACTGGAACTGGACTAGGAGACACAGGTTTTGAGATAGGAAGTAGGTGCTGTCCTGATACTTCGTGTCTGCAGTCATTTAGTACCCCTGTCAGGAAGTACTGTTATTAGCTATGCTTTACAAATGAGTAGGATAGTCTGAAGCATACCCAAGGATTGATTTTCCTAGGAAGTCCTAGGAGTGATAGAGTGACGCCACTGTAGCCCTCCTAAGGACACAGCCTTTTTCTCGATATAGCCATGAAGTGAAAATTGGGGTTCCGGTTGCTGTGTTTGTTAGTGTTTGCCATATGCTGTTATACTGAAATCTCTCTTGTGGAGGATGATCTTGTCTTCCTTTGTAGGGGATAGGGAAGGACATTGTGTTAAAAGTACACGTAATAGCAACTATTATTGGTTATACATTTTCTTTACCTAGTTGTAATGGCTTTTTGAAAAATTGTAGACATCAAAGAGCTTCTAGAAGCTTTCCCATCGTGTCCAAACTTGTCCATATAGTTGCTTAACTACTTAGTGTTTTTTTTTCCCCCTTTGGTTCTTGTTATTTTATACATTTAGAAATTTAGACAGGTTCACTGTAGGAATAACTGCCCCATTTCTGATGACTTTGATATTGAAAATATTCATTCTTGGTGGTGTATACAGCAATCACTGTTTCAGACGGCTATGTGGTGAACTGGAGTAAAAAAGTCAGCATGGCTAGCACAGATGGCTATCCTCATTTCACAATTAGTGAAGCAGGTTCAAAGAGGTTAAGTTTTGTAGGGGTAAGTGGGGGAGCTGGTAAGTGGAGAGCAGAGTTGCTCTTACCTCTCCTTTGTGGTGGGGACTAATACTAGTCCACTAGAGGCCACATCTTACTTGTCTTCATTCAGTACCTTTTTATTATAGATGCTTACAAAAGTTTGCTAAGTGAATAATTTGAAGATACATTAGTAATTTGAAGATATAAAATGACTCCATAATTTACAGTCTAATTAACAGGATAATATTTATACAGGTAATGAAATAATGATGCACAAAACATAGATGAAAGCTTTTTCTCACTAGGTAGATCCTTCATGGAGAAAGATGCGCTTAAGAGATATAAAAAGTTATGTTCTGGGAATTTAGTTGAGCGGCATATGCACCTGCTGAGCAAGTGTGAGACATGAGTTCAATCCTTGGTACCAAAAAAAAAAGTTAATATGCTGAGTTATAAGAAATTTGTTGCCTGCCTTGCAAGCAGGCAGTCGTGAGTTCGATCCCCGGTACCAATAAAAAGGAAAAAGACAAAAAAAAAGAAAGAAAGAAATTTGTTATTACTCTTTATTTTGAAACATAGGGAGATATTTCTGGTAGAAAGAATAATAAGCAGATAAATCATGTTGTGTCTAGAAAGAGAAGGTACTCAGGTAGGAGGTATAGTAAGAAGGTGGTGGGCTTTGATTTCAGTTGGAATTTAGCATGTGATAAGGCACTGGGACCATGTGCTTGAAGGGTTCATATTTGGAAGTACACTCTCTCTGCTCCCATATCTCCTTGAGAACAGCCTGTGTATAATTCCATGCCTTTCCCAACGGCCTGCAGAGCCTGCATCACAATGTTCAGTTCACCTCCTGCAGGGTACCAGTGCAGGGGTTATAGCTGCTTCACAGGCCTCAAAGTATGATGTGTTCTTTACCTCACAATTATTTCATTTTGACTTACAGAAGTATTTGTATATATGTTCTCTCCAACTAAAGGTGACCTTATAAAAGGCAAAGTATCTTATTCTTTTAGTCCTAAGGGACCAGTTTAATCCTTACCCATTGTCAATATTTGGAATATTAGTGGAATTAAATGAGTGTGGTACAGAATATTGTATTATCCTTGGAAAATATTAAATTTAGTACCTAAAAGTAGAAAAGATTTATTGAATTATTCTTCAGGGGCATATGATAACTTATGTATATGATAACTTGTGACAGGAAAGAAGTCAGCAAAATGTAGGCTGGTCCTGTTTGTTGCTCATTAATTACATGGGACAGTATGCTCAATAGTAATGAACTCAAGAATTCAAAATAAATGTTATGATCATTTATTAAGATAGTGTGACAGTAGAATTATTGATTTTATTAACTACTGTTTACTTATTTATATTTATTTATTGGTACCAGGGATTGAACTCATGAGCTCACACTTGCCAAGCAGGTGTTTAGGCCACTGGGCTATATCCCTGGCCCTTAACTACAATATTTTTAAATGACCATAGAGTGTACTTACGTGTAAACACTTAAGTACTTTGTTCTTAGATTTTTAAAAGTTTATCTGTTACTTAAACATGGAAAATGTCCTAATTACTTGTTGTAGAAAGATATTTTAGTTGCAGTCTAATTGATTTGTTAAACGCAGTTAAATGTTAACTTGTCACGTGTAATTAGACGATTAGGCAAATTGCTTAAACTTTGTAAATCTCATTTTCTCTGTCTATAAAGTAGAATAAAAATATCTTGGAGATTGATTATGAGAATTCAATGAAATAATGTGAAATAAGTACTCAGGTTTAGTACCTAGTGATATAAATAAACTATAGCAATTATTTTTATTTAGGTTCTTGACATCAAATATATGCTTGGTAGGGTGACCTAATTTAGTTTATGCCTCTAGTTTTATAATACTTACCTAGAATTTTTTTTCAATTTTAGTGAGAAAAAAGACAATATGTCCACATTTTCTTTTGTTCTTTTAAAAATATGCTTTAGAACTTACTTAAAAGCTTAAGAATTTTGTCATAATCATAATAGATAGCTTTTTAAAAATGAATCTTCATAGGTGAGCTTTAAGTGGTAGACAAGATGAGAAACATTCATGTGAACATAAAATTGTAAATTAAAGTGTAGGTTTTAATATCCATCACATTGGTTTTGTTTTGCACTGCTGGAGATCCAACTCAGGGCCAAGGCAAGCGCTGTGCCACTGAGCCACATTGCCATCACTGTCACATGAGTTTGAACAGCAAAATTATGTGGGTCAGAATTACAAGCAGTCTCTTTACATTACTTCATTGACTTCTCTTAGGTTTACTCATCTTTCTCTTGGCATTATTAATGATCCATTTGGAGGACAATTTACAAACACCAAGAGCCATGCAGATTTTATGTTACTTTGACATTGTAGTTCTACTTCAGAAACTATATCCAAAGAAAGGAATCTATATGATAGAAAATCTGTTTAAAAATATAGTGATGTAGTCATTGCTCTGGCCATGTAAAAATATCCACCAGAAAGGAAACATTTTGCAGGAGAATGTAATGAGTTACAGTGGGTTGGTTTGTGAGTCGTTTGTCTCCCTTTTGAAAATTTGCACATATTCAGTACTTAGGATATTAATGGAATTAAATGAATTTTCCCTTGGTTAAATATTAAATCAGTGCCTGAAACTACTGAAAGAAGGAAGTTATATTGTAAAATTATTTAGTGTTAACTTTTAAAAGAGTTTGTTATAAGTAGAAGAAAGTCTTGAGGATACTTTTCGTACACAGTGTTTCTCTTACAGCTCAGAAGCAGGGTGTCTGTTGTTAAAATTAATATGTCTTGAGGTCCAGATTATTATAATGAGAGAGAGTGAGACCTTAAAAGAATCCAGGCTTTGGAGGGTAGGACTATTTGTTTTTAATATGACTTCTTTTTATTTTAGAATTGATAGATGTCACGTGTACTCTGCTGCTTCTAAACCCAGATTTTACCACGGCATGGAATGTGAGGTACATAATTTTCATAAGTGATAAGATGAAGTTTGTCCATATTTCTGAAGATTTATGAGTTTGAAAGATGTTTGAAAGATGAAATATAAGCTATTATGTCCATGACATCCTATACGTACTTTTACTCATTCTTTCCAATCTCCATGACAGTTCTGATAAATATTCTGTGTTCTTTTATGCATGTCTGTGTCTGATTTCTATAAATTTTCTTGCCTGAAAAATTTTCATGTTGGATTATAGTATACTATTTGGTGCATGCTTTTATTTTCCTTTCTTTTAGGGGAAGTGGGGCATGGGCAGCTGGCATAACTGAGTGGACTGTAAGACACTGATTGGTATTTTTGAGACACACTTCAGTGCAGAAGAAAATGTGTGGTATGAAGATTCAAAGCTGTAGATTTTAGTCTTGGTTTATCACTAACATTGTGACCGCTGTGGGCAAATCTTTAGAGGTTGCTGTCAGTGTTGCAGAGGAAGATCATGTTTTTCAGATTATGTTCTTTGAATCTGAGTATTGCAAATTTTAAACCAATTACTAAATAGAAATACTACAATTCAGAGAAGGATAATTCTTTCATTGAATATTTTTCAGTTAACATGTATATGTATACATAAAATCCTTTAGATTAGAGAAAAGCAGCATACAAATAAATGAAAATCCTGTTGGACAATCTGAATTATTATCTTTTAAGATAACCTAAATCGTATAATTTAATTTTCTGTGCATTTTAAGCAAGGCCACATTTTGAGTTATTGTTTTATAATATTTACTAAATTTTGTATTTATAACTAAGCACTTCTGTATCATTTTCTTAAAGTGTCCTTAAATAATGAATGACCAGAAATCTAGAATTAAATGTATAGAATGAGATGTAAGGCTTTACATTTGTATACGATTTTAGAGCTGATTTTCTGGTGGAAAGCACTGCAGTAGGTAGGGAGGGAGTGGACTGTTTATTAAGTGGTTAGTTTATTTCAGGGACTGTGCTGTATAATTCATTGTCTCATGACACAGTACTTGAGAACGTTTGTTTATTCATCTTGTATTTATTTAGCAACTACTGTGTGCTAGGTTTAGACATTGGAATAGAACCATGAACAAACATATAGAAATCTTTAGTAGTGGACAAAAAATAATAAGGGCATTCAAAAGTAAAATATGTAGGTCAAGCGGTTGTAAATCGTATGGAGAAAACAAATGAGAAAAGAAGGTAGGAGAAGCCAAAAAGAGCACTCAGAAGTGCCATTGCAAGGTTTTGCTCTTGGAAGTGCCCAGGGCCTCCCCCAGCTGCATCTCCAGTTCTCCCACTGCCACCTTCCCCACCTCCCTTTGGAAACAGGGTCCTACTAAGTTGCCAGGCTGGGCCAAAACCTATGAATCCCCTGCCTCATTATCCCAGAGTGCTAGGCTTACGCCCCTGCCCTGGCTGGTGTTGCTGTTTTAAATGAGGGCATTTGAGAAAGACCAACACAACGTTAGGGGTCAGAGCATTCCAAGTAAGAGGAGCTGCAGAGAAAAAATCCTTCAGTCGTGCCTGAAGTGGCCCTGAGTATCTAGGGACAGCAAGAAGGCAGTGCTGCTAGGGTAGCATGGATGAAGAAAAGAGTATTAGATGTGGGCAGAGGGCAGTGGGCCAGGACTAACAGTGCTGTACAGGTTCACAGAATTGTTACAGTAACTTTGACTTTTATTCTGGTGAGGTAGAAAGTCATTCGAGTTTTTCAAGATGAGAAGGGACAATAGCTTAGATTTTAAAACTGGGTCCTGTGTGAGAAATAGACCATACGTGCAGGGAGTGGTTTGGAAGTTAGGAAGAGGTTGCAGTAATTTACATGAAGAGCTTAGCTGTGGAAATGGTGAGTAGTTGTAAATCTGCCTAGATTTTAAAGCTACAGATGATAAATTAGATGCAAAAAAAAAAAAAAGGAATCAGACCTGAGTTTGGTTTTGCCTTGAGCTACTGAAAAGAGAGCTGCCATTCTCTGAAAAGGAGATGGTGTGGTTAGAAGTCTGCATTCAGTTGGGGCCATGTGGGTTTTGTGTCTGTCTAGAGGTGTATTAATCTACAAGGTCAGGGAAATAGTCTGGGCCAGATAAAAATTTAGGAATCACTAGCATACAGATAGTTTTAAAGCTATCAAACTTCTCCAAAGAAGCAGGTGCAGGTAGCAAAAACAACCAGTTCAAAGTCTGAACCCTGAGGTACTCCAGTATTTTCTGAAGCCAGAACAGTGACCACTGGCTGCTCATTTGTGTTGAGCACTTTAAATGTGAGTAGGTTCCATGGAGATGTGCTGGAAATACAACCGTGCACTGCATTTTGAAGACTAAATACCCAAACCAGTGAAATATCTCTTTATTTTTAATTACTTGTCGAAATGGTAACATTTTGGATATATTGAATTAAAGTAAATTTATACAGTAATTGTTTTAATATAGCTGTTAGAAAAACTTTAAATCATGTATGTACTTACTTTGTGACTCACATATTTCTGTTGAGCAGTACTGTTCTAGAGCTTGCAAGATAAGGAAAACAGCAAAAAGAACTCTTAGGAAGATACTATGAACTTACAGTGGAGAGCTTTTGAAGGTTAGGAATTGTGTCTTTTGTTGTTTTTCTTTTGTTTCTCTAACACTTGGCACCTAATAAATATGAAGTTTACAAACTGCGCACTGAAAATAAATTCAGTGAAAAAGAAATGAGTACCTCATGTTTTCACATTCTCATTGTTGGGAATTGAAAATCCTTTAAAGAGTCCTTACTAGCCAGGCATGATGGCACAACCTGTATCCCATGTTCAGGAGGCTTAGGCAGAAAGATCACAGATTTGGGGTCAACCTGAGCAAGACCCTGCCTCCAAGAAACAAAAACAGAAAAAACCAAGTTCTTACTAGCATAATGGATAAGCATACATGTCTACGTATGTGCACATATACATGCATCTGTATTAAATTCATGTACACTTGTGTTGTTCATTAGATACCTTTATGGTAGTTAAAAGTATCTATGGAGAGAGAATCTGGTCCATAGAACGTAGTTCTATTTCATCACTTAACTGCAGTTGACTTTTGGCAAAACCTTTAATTTCTCAAGAGTTTTAGTTTATCAAACAAGAGATTTGAACTAAATTAATTTTTAAGATTCTTTCAAAGCTGACTCTGATTATGTGTAGTTTGGTTTCTTATGAATGGAAATTGTTTCATAAATCAAACTTTAGTGATGTGTATAACAATAGCCTTGAAAAATGTTAAACTTTTGTAATAAATGAAAAGGAATCTTGATTTTTAAAAATCCATTGCAGATATATGCTTTGGTAAATTTTGATTTGTTTTCACTGATTATCACATTTGAGGACTATACCACAGTTAATGTAGGATGTTGACAATATGGAAATCATGCCTGAATTTTGAACAAAAAACAACCGCCTGGGAAGTAAACTAGTCTAATCTTGTAAAGTCTGTTACAAACCAAATACTCAGCGTTTTGTAGTATATTTGGTATATTTCTCTACAGTAGTCCTGGAAGACATTGAATGATTTTTCCTGTATTTTATAGACTTCTAAAAACTAATCTGAATACTCCTGTAGTTCAGTTTCTAAATGTTGCAATCCTAGGGGGGAAATAGAAGTGAGAATAAATTTTTGAACTGATATGTGATTATAGTAAATGGTACATAGTTTAAAAATCCCCCTGGTTATTAAAAAATGACTGTTTTTGCTTTGAAAGTTGGTGAGTTACTTGATAATAGAGGTAACTTTATAATAGTGTCCTGCTTTTTCATCAGTCTATGAATTTAAGAGTAAACAACTTCTTTGAGCTACTAGGATAGCTGATACTGAACTCCAGTGATTCATGTTCCTTATTCAGCCCATTGACTTAAACTGGTAACTTTGTGTTATGCAGATTTGAGGTTTAGTTCTGACAGTCTGAGTTAGGAAGCCTTGAGCAAATTACTGAATGTCTCTAATTCTCATGTCTGTAAAATTGAGATAATACAGGGTTAAACCATTCGATTTTTTTTTCTTAGATCAAAAATACTGTATTTGAATCTCAGCACCTGGGTGCTGATTTCTAACATCATTCTCTAGAAAAGTAGGCTTCTTGGAGAAATAGATGATTCTAGACTTAGGGCAGAAAGTATATGTTGTAGTGTGTGTCTTGGGGAGCCAGGAAGTAAGAAAAGTATTTAAATACAGTGTGGTGGGGTTATGTTAAAGGGATACATGAATATGTTTAAAGAACTTCCAGTAGCAAGAGCTGGAGTGATTTCAGTAATAAAGTAAGTCCAGTAGTCCTCGCTTATTATAATGGTGTTGAAACAAAGGATAGTATGTTTTTTCCTACTCAGGGCCTAAAGGATTTATGCAGAGTGGATACATCCACTGGACAAAGGAATAATTCAAATCTTGAGCTATGCTTCATGAGATTTCATCGTACTATTTGGAACAATGTGCCATTTAACACTTACACATTATTTCTGGAATGTTCCGTTCAAAATTTTTGAACTCTGCTTGACTGTGGGTGACTTAAACTGTGGGTAAGAGGGAGGAACTACTTCAACAAGCTATTGATTTATAAACCATAATATAAAATAGATATCCAGAAGTTCACATTGGCATGAAAGAATCAGTGAATAAATAAGGAAGAGGCAGAAGACAAAGGTGCAGTTAGTTTATCTGGGCAATCCCCCCAAGAAGGCACAGCATTATTCACGGTTCCTCAGTGCAGGCTGTGCACCGAATCAGAAAGTCATTGACTTCCTTCTGAAAAGTAGTAGAGAGACTTGACATGACATCACCTCAGCCACGTAACCCATGTCATCATCAACAGCGATAAGTTGTGCTGATTATACGTGCCCCTAATTTGATGCACTTTACCTGTGTAATCTTCCTCCTCCATTCCCATAACCTGAGTTTGAGCACAATAAAAAGCATGATGCGCAGTATCTGACCAATACAAATGCAAAGCCATCAAAAACCAGATGAGTTTGAGGAGGCTGATGCATAACCAACCAAAATGAGTTGTGGGGTCCTGGATGGGGCACTGGAATAAAGAAAGGAAATTTGGTAAAAATAAAAACTAAGGAATTTTGAATAAAGTATGGACTTCACTAATGTCAACATTTGAGGACTATACCACAGTAATGTAGGATGTTGACAATATGGAAAGCAGGTGCAGAGTACAGAGGAATTCTCCAAATTGTCCTTACAGCTTACAGTTTCTCTGTTTGTTTGTTTTTTTTTCCAAAAAAAGATTGAATATTGGCATTTTTCACATGGCCCAATGTAATTCTTACAGTGTTGTTGTAAGAAGTAAACTAGATAACATTGCTTAACAGTAATTAGGGAAAGTGTTCTGTGGATGACAATTTTTATGAAGTTGATTGTTATTTCAGACAGAACAAAGAGTGGAGAAATAAGATGGCAATTGTTCATAATATTCATTATTATGTAGCAGGTACAGAGCTAACCAGTAGAGATCTGCCTCAAGCAAAATAAACTGTGGAAATATAAAAATACAGTATCATAAAAGTACAGTATACTGCTCACCTTGGTAGCTGTAAAAGTTCCCATAGTTGTTTTAGTTATGAAAGTAGGTGATGTTTTCTAATGAACAAGAGTTTTTCAATAGCAAGTGATGAGAGTTTTTCGTATATTCTGTTTAATTAGTAAAAATACATAGCAAAGATTTTAAAAGGGTTACTTTTATCGTTTCAAAAATATGCTATGTGGAAGACCTCATTGCTTCTATAATTCCATTTTTTTCAGTTGTTAAAAAAAAATCCATCCATCTACTCCCTTCTCTCACCTTTTTAAACATGGCATCCCTCACTTATGTACTTCTTCCCACAAGGTTGTCCGTAGCATCGTTCCTTACTATCTCCGCCCTCTAACCTCAGAATCATACCTGCTTTCCCCCTTCCTGCTTTTTCCAGAGTTTACTGATGATCCTGGATTCATTGTTTCTTCTGTTAGCAATGTGCCACCTAGGAAGTAGAAGCTAGACTTTTCAGTATGCATGAACATAAAGGTTCCTCAGATAAATCCACCTTACCTTTAAGGTACCACCCCATTTCTCTAACAAGAAACATTTTCCACAGAAAATGGCTAGCACTGTATTACTGTATAAGCTTTAGGGGATCCACATGCAGTGAGTTAATGCTGTTAAGATTTATTTCAGTTCAGTTACACAGTTTTTAAATGACAGATGTTTCACTTTATAAATTTTCATTTTATACATTTTATTAGTTTTATTGAAATGCCTTACATGACTTAATTTACATCAATGATCTTGTCACAAAAGTCATATTTACCTGTCTAGCATTTTTTAGACCCTATCCTCTTGTATCTAAGATGTTTCGGTTACCATAGTTTTTGAATCTAGGTAGAGGGACATTTCCTCTCCATCCAGATTCCTATTGAATCTTGACTTATTAAAGCAGTTAGTTTTTATTATACCACTAGGTTAGGATTGCCATAACTTAACACTTAAAATATTTCTTTTTAATATAATTTTTTTAAAAAACTTGTTTACAACAGTATCCAGCACCTTCAGATGTTCAGTCTTGCACCCAGAAATGTTATTAATTAAGCAGTCATATGTACTGTTGGCTGAGTTGTTTTAGACTAAGATATCATTCTAAAATATAGCATTGTTTTTCCAAATAAACAAATTAATACAGTGCCCATAATTTAAGAAACTTTGTAAAGACTTGGTTTTAAGTCAGACAGTCTTTTCTAAAGAAATATTTTATTATCTCCCAATACATGGGTATAAAGAAAGGCAGTTGTGAATAACAATATGTCTTAAATGTAGCAAATGGAAATTAAATATTATATACTTTTCTTTACAGTAGTGGTTTTAAAGGTTACTGTACTTCAGCCAAAGGGCTTGTGAAATCGTACCACGCTGAGTGTGTGTGTGTCTGCAAGACCGAGAGTCTGCATTTCTCCTGTCTCAGAATACACTGATGTTACTGCCAAGGGCTCCACTTGAATAGTTACTGTTCTACAAAGTAGTCAAAGTCACATAAAACAATCTTTGCATCCTTTATTTGGTAGATATTCCTATTTACTGTCTAAGCCTATAGAAGAAATTGGCTGGTGCATTAAGTTTTTTGTGTTTTTGTTTTGTTCCTTTGACAAAAAATAAGTTTCCTGTATAATGAAAGGAAAATAGTCAATTAAAATAACTGTAAACTTTGTAAGTATTGCTTCACATTCTTTTATGTTTCCACCCTGAAAAGCAATTACAAAATCCAAGTATTGTCACTGTATATTCATTTAAGAAAAAGTTTATTTTCTTTATCAGATAAAAATTTAGAAATAGTATATTGTTGCTAGAAAGATTTACTGTCATTTTTAGAACTAAATTCATCTAAGCAACTGATGTAAAAGGGTTCTGGTTTTATCAGGCTTAAACTCCTGTAAAATAAATTTATAGATTATCACAAGAACATTTGAAGATTAATAACTGATCCAATTTTATTATAAAATAATATAAGAATTAATTGGAAGCATACTTGAAACAGTGGCACCTGTTATCAAAAATATATCTGATTGCCAGGCATGGTGGTACGTGCCTGTAATCCCAGCACTCAAGAGCCTGAAACAGGAAGATCATTGCGAGTTCAAGGCCAGCCCGAACTACATAGCAAGACATTGTCTCAAAAAAAGTTAAAAAAAAAAAGCAAAAACTTACCCGAGAAATTAAATGTAAATTGCATTTATAGAAACATCCGTAGCAACTGATGTGAAATTCTTTAACATTCGTTGAGCCTTTGGTTGAACTTGATCAGCTTTAAAATACCGATTACATCTGCTTACATTTTAAAAAAAGCTAGCTAGTGTACTAATGGTAAATCTTTCACGTGGTAATACCACTTGGAAACTTATCCTAAGTAGTAGCACAAAAATACCAGTGTCTGAGTACAAGGCTTTGTTGTTTTCTTTGTTTTCCATAATTCTTTTAAAATAGCAAAAAGTTAGAAGCAACCTAAATATATATTTGTAAGGACAAAGGATATTAAATTATATCCTGTAGATATATCTTGGATATTAAAGTATATTTACAGCTACTGAATGAAAACCACTTGAGCATTTAAAATATTTATTACAAAGATTATTTAAAATCCATAGGGAAATTCTTAAAACATAATGAGAGTGAGATATAAAATTATGCAAAAAAAATGCAAAAATATGGAGTAATATAAAATGGATAGGATAATGATTCAATAAATAATCTTTTCTTTGCATCTCAGTTACACTGTGTGTTTTGGCTTGTGTGCGTGTGTGTGTAATGAGCAGTTCTTGACTACTGTTTGATAACTGCTATCTAGACATACAACTTTTTGAAATGAGATAGCCAAGAAAAACACTTTTGCTGTTACTCAGATAGTTGAACAAAGTTCCATTGTTGACTTAAGAGAAATTCTTATTATGTATTTATTTTGAGATTATGAGAATACATTCTTCATTATCACTTGTGACATTTATGACAGTTTAATATTATACTGCATTGGTTTGGAGTTTTAATTTTCTTTTTTAAATTTTAATTCTTGGGAATTGACATTTTATTATGGAGTTGTATTAGAAATCATGAAGAATATTTGAATAGGAGGATAATGTAATGCTTTTCAAATTTTTTCTTTTATAGGAAAGAATTGATCCTCTCTGGTACCTTAAATCCAATTAAAGACTTACATCTGGGAAAACTGGCCTTAACAAAGTTTCCAAAGAGTCCAGAAACGTGGATTCACAGGTGTGGTTAATTTACAGCCTAGTATGTTTAGAATTCAGGATGGCTGGAGGAAGGAACAGCAAGTGAAGCTGGGTCTTTGTGCTGGTTCACAGCATCAATTTTGGAAGTTCAATACCTACATTTAAATCTAGGGCTTTCACTTTTGTTCATGATCAGTTAACCCCTCCAAGTTCTCAGTTTTCTTGTTCGTAAAGTGGAAGTAATAACTATACCTGTCTTGTAACTCAGTATGCATGAGATGATACAGGTAAACACTACCACAATGTCTGGCCCATACTAAACTCAATAAACATTAGCTGCTATTAACTGTCTCTGCAGTTGTGGAGATTGCATTTAGATGCTCAACATCATATTGAGCATTTTGGGCTTTTAAATGCATCAGGTTGTGTTTCTGGTGATGGTTGTGGTCATTAAAATAAAATTACAAAGGAAGCTAGGGGCAGCTGAGGTGAATGGCGTATGGGCTGAGCTAAAGTTACCAAGACCATAAATGTCAGCATTTTTAAAAACATAAGGCATCCAGAAGGCAAATAGGGTCTCTGTATCCTGGCTGTCTGAAAGTATCTTCCTCTTGGACCGCGTGTTACCACTTTTATTTGACTAAAACAGAAGGGTGTCAGCTTGCTAATCAGTATTAGTGGAGAAGTTACTCTGAAGAAGTCGCTTTTCATTAAGCCATTCTGACTATTCTTTAGTCCTGGGCATTTTGAGGATCTTATGCCAGTATGAAGTATTTGAACTGTAATTGTGTCTTTGCCTACTATTGCAGGGCAGCCCCTTCCAGACCATCATCAGCTTATTTACTAGCAAGTGGATAGTCACCCTCCAGACTTTGTATGGAGTCTAGAAAGGGTGGTGTCAGGGGTGGAAGCTATTAAGTATATGTTCATCAATTGTCTGTAATTCTTAAATAAAGCAGTATTTTCTTGTTAAATAAAAACTTCCATTATTTAAAAAGAAATTAATTTTCTTACTCAATTTTATCTTACTTTTGGGTTGAAAATTTTTAGTCTAAAAGAATGCTTTCATAAAATATTTGAAACAAAAGATACTAAGTAGTTGTAGGTACCTTTTTAGTACTTTTTAATGCTTTAGTGCTTTTTAATGCTAATGCAATCTTAAATAGACAAAAATCTGTGGATAAAGATATTTTAAAACCTCCTTGATGGTTTAGCTAATTGTATTTGTTTCCTTCTAGATTTTATGATATAATATGGAAATTTTGCTTAATGAAAGTTGTCAAAATGCAGTTTCTTATTCGCAAACACACATAGAGTGAGGCAGGCACACTTCTGTGAAGACATGAACCACGACTTTGCTTCAAATGCTTACTGGCCACGTTTGTGTTTGTGTGGGAAAGATGGCTGCAATTGTGTTTGTCACCTGATGCTACATTTGCAAGCAAAAACCAAATTTTGCCAAATGTTTCTGTTTGCAAACAAAACCAATCATGACCTGAGGTACAAAGGTAATAGTCTGTCTCTGCCACCACTGCCACAGAAACCCAAGGCCAGTTGCCGTTACATTTTCTGGCCAAGTGAAGTTTGGAAGTCCTCATTTTATAACTGATGCCATTCTCTTTCTGACAGATTTTAAAGTTACAGAAAAGTTTCCCTTTCCTATTTGTCCCCTCCACCCTTCATTCATGCTGCTAAATTTATTTCCAAAAACAAGACTACCAATCTCTCCTTACCTCCCCAAGACCTGAGCTTCTAGGTAGGTCTTTCTTTCACATGGTCTGTGTATGGCAATTAAATTGAGAACAAAGAGAGCTGATAGTTTGTCTCTTTGATTTATGCTCTTTTCCACATGCTACCTTAACAGGCGATGGGTGCTACAACAGCTAATGCAGGAAGCTTCTTTGCCTCCCTTTGTAACCAAAGGAAACCTGGGAACAATTCCTGCAGAGAGGACACAGCGACTGATACAGGAAGAGATGGAGGTCTGTGGTGAAGCAGCAGGGAGATACCCAAGCAACTACAATGCCTGGTCCCATCGCATCTGGGTCTTGCAGCACCTGGCTAAGCTGGATGCCAAGGTAGGGCTATCATGATGCAGTCTCGGTGCACACTGCTAGTGTGCTGTGCCAGTCTGCTGGGCGTAGTTCAGAGAAGTTTTAAGAAGTAAAGTAGAGGAAGTGATGGTCCAGCAGCTCGAGGGGATCCTGACGCAGATACCTCCAGAGAAACCCTGGTAGTTACAGAGAGTTTCCGTCCTCATTAGTGCACTTGTGGGCACTGCTGAGGCCGGTACATTGGTATACAAAGACAGATTAAGCCAATAGGGAAAGATTGAGCACAACTCATTTTGCTCTGAAACAGGAGGAGATTACTGAGCCTCTTCTAATTGAAATTATTTCTCGGTAGCCTCTGGCTGTGTGATTCGGGATGCTGTGTCTGTTGGCTGTCCTTTCTCAGTGCCCTGATCTGGTAGGCAGGGAGGGGAGCAGGGCACAGATCTCACCCAGGTGTTTCCACATGAAGCAGATGCTATAAATTTTCCCAGGGAGGCCTAAGTCTTGTTCCACGTGAACTAAATCAGAGTAAGGGTGGGATTTGGAGGTCAGTATTCTCCACGGGTTCAGGGTTATTTGGATGCATGCTCAGGCTAGGAACTGTTGAACTAGTCTTTGTAATTTAGAAATGAGAAGGTGGAGGTTCCCAGAGAAATTTAATGGCTTCAACTTAGCCCTTTTGTTGTTCACCAGGATGAGAGCCAGGTATCCCGTGTGTGCCTTTTTATACATTAAAGTATGGCGATGTTTTCTCTTATAATATTTAATGCCATAAGAATTCTAAGATACTTTTTAAAAAGCTTCATAGGCTTGGAATAATTTTAAAAGGCCAAATTGAAGGTCGAAGTGCTCCAAGCAGGGTTTTCAGATTCATGGGGACGCTTTCTGTGGTTTTAGAGTACCACTTCCTTTCTACAGCTCCCTTCTCAGGCTCCTTTCCCCTGTTTTCTAGCCAGAAATTCTTCCATGGAAAATAGAGAAATTTTTACTTGGAGTAAAGATTTTTTACTTTTACAAGAATAGCCCTTTTCCTTAGAGTTAACATGGGTATGGGCTTCAAGAGGGAAGGCCACATAATGAAGAGCAAAAAGCAAAGCGTAAGAATCACATCAGCTGAGTTCAGGTTCTGCCCCTATAAACTGTAGAAAGTAGAGCTTCAGTGTTTTCGTTTTTAAAGTAAGGACTTTGCTGAGAAGCAGTAGAGTATGGACAGAAAGTACTAGGCATCTCCAAGAAGATCACTACATTTTAGTTCCTTTGTCTCGCCCCCCGTAAATAGGAAGTTTAGATGAAGTTGGCTGCCAGTTTTCTTGAACAAGTCAGTGCAGCTTATTTGTGAAAAAGTACCAGAACTGCTTTTCCCAGCCGCTTGTCCTGTGTGTTAGGCATAGCAGTAAAGACAAGGAGTTTGCTGTCAATAAATTAAACTGGGATGCTGACCATCAGTCACAAGGCAGCATGACACTTCAAGGAGCTGAGGAAGCTCATGGTACATACCATGGACACACAGAAATGACTCTTCATTTACCTACAGTGCATTGGAAACGTTTGTCTCAGTCTGGAGAAGTAAGTACAAGTTGCCTGGGAAAAGGGAGTGCTTTAGAACTGGTTGTCTCAGCTCCACAACTTCATAGTGAAGAGGTAGGGATGGGGGGCGGGATCAAAGGAAGACCAGAGTCCAGGTGGGCTGAGAGGTCTTTGTAAACTTTCCTCCCATGATACAGACCTTTCCATGTGGTTTGCCCGTAAAATCAGGAGCAAGGGCGCAAGGGAAGTTGTTGGTTACTTGAGACCGTTTGATGTTCAAGATGACAGCTCATCAATCAGGAAGGTGCTGGCTTGACTGCTTGGGCCTACTCCTGGGCTCACATGTTATCAGCCTTCCTTGACCTGCCCTTGCTGAGCGCGGGGACTTGCCATTCTCCTGTCACTACCACTACTGCAGCATCTTCTGTTTTCAGTAAAGAATGCTTAATTTTCAAAATTCCTTGCTGCTGCTATAAGCCAATGATGGTGAACCTCTTCGAGCTTTCAGTGATAAGAAATAGCCCACTGTGGCAGGTTCACCGTCACTGCAATAAGCCATTGGGTCCAACTGGGAGAACACGTCTGCTATGCTTAGCGTACTTGAAGAAGTAATTCCACAAGTACCAGTAGTCTAGAACAGCTTAAAAATAACAAGGAAAATGAACTGGCATTTTTTTACTTAAAGATTGAAAATGAGTTTTTAAAGTTTAGTATCCACTGTTGGTAAAGGTATGACAATAAACATTGTAATAACTGTTACAGTCTTACTACAAGGCAACTTGGCAGCATTTTATACACTTAGAAGTCTGCTTCCAAGAGTTTGTCCAAGAGAAGTAATGGTAGAGACAGTGTGACATAATGATGCCACAAACCTAAATTGCTTCCTAGCTTTGCTACCAGTTTTTCTGTGTAGCCTGGAGAAAGTTACCTGGCCTCTTTAACTTTTGGCCTCTTCCTTTATCAAACAGTGATGATGAAAATCTCTCCCTCATCCAGGCATGCACCATAATGAGAAAGAGCCATGTAAAGTGACTAACACAGTGCTCAATAAACCTTGGCTGTTAGGTTTAATAAAATATGAAGGTTTAATGTCTCAGAGCAGGTTTATAATAGTAGGTGTATAAAACTAGAAAGACCCTCCAGCAGTGAGAGATTAGTTCACATTTTAATATATCACAAAGTGTAGAATCTTGTGATGCTACTAAAAAATTGTACTTTAGGTTATTAAAAATTCACAATAGGCTAAGGTTATAAACTTAAGTGGGGTAAACTTCATAATTTTAACATTTATTAGCATTGAATGAGACAGCAAATAGTGCTTTGCACAAAATAAATGCACAATATATATTTGTACATACAAATAAAGTGTTACAAATATTTTCTTTTTAATCAGGAAAAAAGTTTAGAAAATAAACAATGGTTAGTAGTACTGTGGGGTGGAATTAATTTTTTTATTTTACATTTTGTTGTGATGTGTATATGTTTAAAATAAATACATATTTAAGCTGTGTGTGATGGCAGTCATAGGTAATCCCAGCCCAGAATTCTATCACTGAGACTAAGGCAGGAAAAATAATAATTTGAGGCCAGCTGAACTATAACAGAGAGTGCAGTCCACCTGGACTACATAGTAACAAGATCCTGTATCAAGTAACCAAAGTAAATAAACATATATTTAAGTAAATTTTAAAATAATATTTGTTTTGAGGGAAGAGTAAGAGAAAAGACTCATAGCCAAGCTGATTTGTTATTAGTGGGCAGTTAAAAGGTGATATAATTTGCCACCCAAAGAAACACATAAGTTCATTTCTTCAGAAAATATATACAGATGGCTAACAGGAACATGGAAAAACTTTCAGCATCATTAACCAATAGAGAAGTGAATATCAGAAACATAGTGAGATACTGCTTCACTTCAGCTAGAATGGTAAACAGTATCAAGTGGAGATCTGGAGAAATCGGGGACCTTGTTTGTAGTTTGTAAGGCTATACAATATTGCAGTCGTTATGAAAAGCAATTTCATATTTCCTCAAAAAATTAAATATAGAATTAGTATATATAAAAATACACATAGTGACAACCAGTGTATTCTTGAAAAACTTAGCATATTCCTAGAAATTGCTCAAAGGAGCTGAAAACATGTTCATGCCAAAACTTGTATGAGAATGTTTATAGCCAAATTACTCATAATAGTTAAAAGGTGGTGACATCTAAAATGTTCATCATCTGTGAAAAAGAAACCAAAATGTGATACCTATGGCCATAGAGTAGAATACCGGCCATGGTAAGGAGCTGAAATGCTGACTTTACAGGTGAGTGAACCTCAAAACAACATGCTGGTGGAAGGCAGCCACTCTGGAAAGGCCCCATACCGTAGGAGTCCACTTATCTAATTTGTTCAGAAAGACAAAGCAGATTTACTGAGTGCCAGCAGTTGGGGAGAGGGATGCAAGTGATGTCTAAGAAGAATGAGTGTTAGTTTCCTTGGTTTGATTTGATTTTTGGTGAAGAGCTGGTGAAAATGTCTTACGTTAGTTAGCAGTGGTATCTGTGTTAGCTCTGCGAGTGTATTAAAAACCTCTGACTTATTTCTCACCTTCAGAAATTCACAAGGATAAAGTTTGCAACATAGCTAAGAAATTGTTGAAAAAGATGAAAACAGTATGCCATTAGATATTTAAATGTTTAAGACAGGGCAATTAAAACTATAGTACTGTTTCAAAAATAGACTTAGTAAAGGAAAACAATAGAAAGCCTAGAAACAAATCTCATTATATAATACCTATAGACTTCATTAGTGATAATATGAAAAAATACCTTTGTTCAGTTGGTGATGCTGGCAAGAACTGACTGGCTTACATGTGAATGTCTTTTTTGTTTTGTTTTGTTTTTGTCAAGGGGGTGAAGGCCTTGTGCTAGGCAAGCACTCTACCCTGAGCCATACCTACAGCCTTGATTGGCTTTTCAGAAAATGATTCAATTACATTTTTAATCTCTTATTATATATAGAATAAAACTGTACTCTTAGTGGATTAAAAACCTATATGAAGAATAAGGGGATTAAAAACCTATCTGAAGAATAAAGAGACCTGGAGGATATTAGGCTGGATGAAATAAGCCAGCCAAATACTGAGAATCTCACGTGTATCTGGAACAAATCATGGAGTGCTACTTGCAGGGGTGAGGGTGGCGTGAGCCGTGAGTTACTAGGCAAAGGGTATAAAGTTTCAGTTAGGGTGAAAAGGCTTGTAACTGTTGTACAGCAAAGTGACTGTAATTAAGAATGTATTATACACTTAAAATTTGCTAAGAAGGTAGGTTTTAAATGCTTTTACCTCTAAAAACAGTGATACAAAGTAAGATGATGGCTCTTAGGTTGATTGTGATCATCATTTCACATTGTACACATAAAAATCATTAGATTGTGAACCATGTATCTGTATAGTTTTGTTTTACCTCAGTAAACATGGAAAAAATTAAAATCAATTTCAGTAATATGTTCATATAAATACTTAAAGTATATGTGGCAAATGGAGGCTTAATTTCTATAAGTATCTTACAAACTTTTAAGACAAGTAATGACTTGCAAATAGATTAGACAAATTATGGAACTGGGCAAGAATGGAACTTCTTAAGAAAACAGGAAAACTAATGAATTTAGATTAAAATAAACATAATTTTTTACTTATCAAAGTAATGAAGTATTGCTAAAAATAGGCATTAACTTGTACTTCCAATAGAAATACAACTTATACAGTCTTACTAGAGGCATTTTGATAATATATTTCCAGAACCTTATAGTATTGTTCTCTTTATTCCAGCAAATATATATCTAGAAATTTCTCTTGAATGCAATCTTGTATGCACAAAGATTATATAAGACTAGAAACAAATAGGGGAATAAATTGTACTTACCTTTAGGATAAAACACTATGCAAGATATATAATGTTTAATGCCATAAAAATTTGCTCTTAATTTAAGTGAAACAAAATCCAAGTGTTTCAAATCTGTTATAAATAAACCCTTTGTATATGCGTGCATAGAAAAAAGCCTGAGGTATTGGTTATATACCAAATTGTTAAGAGTAAGGGTCTGTGGCTGAGGATAAGGAGTGATTTTTGTTTGCTTTTTTATGTTCTTCTGTCACTGGAATTTTCTATAATGATCATTTTTATCACTTTTATGAGTAGAAGAAAAATCAAATATTTTTAAAAGTAAAGCTGGTGGGGCTGGGGATTTAGCTCAGCGGCATAAGCGCCTGCCTTGCAAGCAGGCAGTCATGAGTTCGATCCCTGGTACCAATAAAAAGGAAAAAGGAAAAAGAACAAAAAAAAAAAAAAAGTGAAGCTGGTAATATGTATTTTTGTTATTCATTTTAAACCTGTTATTCCTCTATTTCATAGTCCTGCTTTTGTAGTTTTCTTATTTACTCATTTTTTTTCTTATATATAAGTTGGAAAGAATACAAATATTTAAGGTGTATGATATGAAGACATTCATTTTTTAGTACCTAAACCTTTAAGTTGTATCTTTAGATAATGTGTTTTAAGATGACTTAAAAGTAATTACTGTCATTTCACCATTGCCTTTATCTGTGTACTTCAGTGTTCTTGTAGGAAAATGTCTTGAAAGTCCCTTCTTCTTTTTTTTTTTTTTTTTTGTCTTTTTCGTTTTTTATTGGTACCAGGGATCAAACTCAGGATCGCACACTGGCAAGGCAGGTGCTTATGCCGCTGAGGTAAATCCCCAGCCCGAAAGTTTCTTCTTTAATAATTCATCTTTATATATCTTAAGATGATAGATTTTTTTTTCTTAAAAAGACAGTTTGTTAAAAAATTAAATAGGTTTTGTCAAAAATCTTTCATATATGCTATTTTTGCCTCAAAATTGGACAAAATAAGTTCCATTTTTCTATGTAGAGTTATCTTGTTAGACATAAAGGTTTTTCATGTAGTATAAGTTTATTTTAAATAGTCTTTTGTAGTTTTTAAATAGTCTTTCAAACCAGGTTGAGAAGCCATACCATAAGTAAAAAGCTGCCTTATTATACCCTAAATGCCCTGTAAACAAATTCTTCAAAAGTGTAATAACTTTGAATTTAATTTGTTTTTCAAGCAGATGTTTATTTGATGCTGTTTTTTTTGTTTGTTTGTTTTTGGTACCAGGGATAGACCTCACGACCTCATGCTTGCTAGGCAGGTGCTCATGCAACTGAGCTAAAACGCTAGCCCTTTGATGCTATTTTTGCTCACCTTTTAAAATCCATTTTCTCAGAGAATTTATTGCCTTGGAATAAATTTACATATAAATGTCTACATATAAATTTATTAGAACTTAAAAGAAATATTTAAAAACACTCCAATGATAAAACTTGAATATTCTGATTCGAAGTAATCCTTCTGCATTGTATTTATCACCTCCTTCATTAAATTGTTTATTCACTCAGTCATAAAACATGTATGTGTCCACTCTGATGCTAGTGGGTATAGGGGCATGAAATCAACTAGGAATGAATAAATATTTGTAGCATTAGAAAAGGAAAGAGAGAGAGAGAGAGAGAGAGAGAGAGAGAGAGAGAGGAAGGAAGGAAGGAAGGAAGGAAGAAAGGAAACCTGCAGAATTTAATGGTAAGGAAGACCTGTGTAGAAAATTCTTTTGTGTATATAGTGGATCGCACGCGGGCTATGAAACTTTAGAAGAGTGTAAGTTTTCATGTAGCAGAGAAAGGACTGTGACAAGTGCGAAGGGATCTTGGTACAGAAGAGGGTATTTGCCTGAGACCTTAACACAAATGTGTGAAGCCATCACTGTCATTGTACTCTCTGTATATTCACAGCTGTGTGTCTCTTTTCTTTAGCTGGTCAGAAAGTGTTTCTGGCAGAATGTAGTCAGCTCTTGATAATACCTTTCATTGATCAGCACTCATTTTTGTTTGCTGCTTGTCCAAAACAGTACCAAAAATTTTATTTTTTCGTAAGTGGAGCTTTTCTTTAGTTTGCAGGATTGGTAATATAAAGTCTTGAACAATTTACTGCTTATTTTTATCTATTTTTTTAAAAACATCATTTATGGGGAGATTAGAGCAAGTAGTGAAAGTCACAAACCCTGGAAAAATCCTGTTATTCATGCATCATAGTGTTTAGCTAAACTCTTAGAGTTAAATAGTAAATGAAACAGTGTGGTTCCTCCACTCCTGGCATTTGTAGTAAAGAACAAATAATGATACTGAGTCTGTTAAGCAGGCAGTGTGTATTCATACCAGTTAGATACATGCATACTAAAGGGAAGAGGAAAGTTTATGTCAAGGTAACTTTTTATTTTCTCTTCTAGGTTAGTATTGTAAATGAGCACTGCCATGTTTATCATTATTTTAGCATTTGGCTTTTCTCAGTGTCAATCAAAAAGTGTAGTCAAGATCAAGGGAAAAAATGTCAAGTCTTTAATTCTGTAGTTTAAAAAGAAATCACCACCATTACTTTATAAGGGAGAAGAGACACTAGCATGTATTAAGCTTCTAAATGACAGTGCTGTGCTTGACATTGTATACAAAACACTCAGGGGAATAATTATCAGAAAGAAAACAAAAACAAGAAATAAATCAAAGAGAAATCACAGGGTGTTGATGGAGAAAGAAAAACCTTTGGAAATTCTTCTTCTTACCTCCACTTTTTCTTCCTCAAGATTCTTCTTGCTGAGCTATCTTCTACTAAACATTGGGCATCCATGCACGTTTCAGACCACAGTGGATTTCACTACCGCCAGTTTTTGTTAAAATCTTTGATTAGCCAAACTGTGATAGATGATCCTGTATCGGAGCAGAACCCTTTGAGGAGTGAGTCAGCCCTGATTCTTCCAAAAGATGAAGAAGCAACAGCTTCAGCAGAGGAACCAAGGATAAATCTTTCTCATCTTCTAGAAAAGGAAGTGGAATTCAGCACTGATCTTATTGATTCCTACCCAGGACATGAGACCCTGTGGTGTCATAGGTAAGAGAAGGGACAAGGGCATTTCCTCCATGAACCTTTGCATGTCTTTATGAGAGGTGCAGATGCTGCTGTATTGACTTCTGCCCTTTTTTTGATCATCTGGGTGTGGCACTGTGACTGAGAAAGGGTTTGTGTTCCCATATCATCATCATCATCATTGTCATAATCAATACGAAGCCCCTCATGCAGGTCCTTCTTGTGGCTTAGGCTAGTGGTATCCAACCTCAATTCTGTAGCAGAATAACCTGTGTTATTTCCAAAATTAAACAGAAACAAAGGTTTTTGGGCTTTCTCTTTGTATATCTTGGAATTAAGTGCTATGATCTGTTTTTGTTTTGTTTGTTAAGGGAAAAAGTTTTATAAGTAATTTTGTTGTATAGTCAGTATTGAGGTTATTAATTACAGTCTGAGTATATAGTAAGGTAAAGTATTGATTTGTTTATTATTTGTTTAGGAATGATTTGGTCTTGAGAGTAATTAGGCTTTTTTAGAAAATTTTAAGTGTTAGGGATTTTGTTTTGTACAGGAAAAGACTGATTTTGAGTACATTTGACAGTAATGTAAATTTCGTGTCAGAATAAGCTCAGATATGTGGACACCTTACTTCAATTATTTTGGGTGTTTTTCTATTTGGAGGGATCTCCATCTTCATAAATACAGATTCTGCTTCAGGCTATAGAATAAAGTTAGCAAATAAAAGGCATGTTCTGGGTAAGAAGTAAGCATTTCAAAATGTGTGTATTTAGGTTTTTGAAAACCCTCCCTCCCCCCAGCTTTTTTATAGGTTATTTGTGGAGATTTGGTCAGCCTTATTTCCATGCTAAATATATTCAGAAGTTGGAAGTCGCCTTCCCCTTTTTGGCATCTTCATAAATAGGGAATTCTCCCTTTCTCTTAAAACCAAGACTCTCCTAATGTGGATTTTCATACAGAAGGTAGATCGTATTAGAAAACATGTTAAAAGATACAGTTCCTGTTTTTCCCACTTAGGAGAGCAATTTACCTGCTCTTGGAATCACCTGGAACTATTTGCTAAAAATGAACACCTCTGTGTCTAATCTATAAAACTTTAATTCAAGGGTTGAAACTGGTTTGGTGTTAAAAAATCTTTGTTGCTGTTTTGTGTTTTGGTATTTTAATAGCAAGACTTGTTACAATTGGAGCGAAAGAGGGAAAAAAGTTGGGTTGACCTATCTGTTTTAAAAGCTAATTTTCTACTGTATTCGAGAATTTATCTGTCCATTACATTTTACCCTTTATAAAATGGTACATTATACATTTCTTCTTTACTCCAGCATATGCAGGGAGGAAGTGAATGGAATTGTCTTTCAGGGACTTAGAACTGATAATATGAATGATGGGCTGTAACTTAGAACCTATGCGATTCATCATATTACATATAGTAGATCCCTGCCCCCAAATTCAAGTTTAGAGGTTAGACACAGGGTCTTCACTTTTTACAGTTCCAGGTGATTCTGAAGGCAGGAGAATTGCTTTCCTCCACAGGAAAAGAGGAATTGTATCTTTTTAACATGCTTTCTTCAGAGTCTGGCACATTTTAAGACTAGTAGTGGTTTTAGAAGGAAATTCTGTTGATTTCTGGATAGGAAAGCCAACAGCAGCAGCTACATTATTGTAACTTTCAAAAGGATTGGATAAAGACCATAAACTAAACCCGTAGAGAAACCTTGTAATCCCTGTAGTTGTTGGATCACTTGTCTTTTAAGACAGCAGTGCAGTAAGTTTTTGTTTTATCTGTATGATAACTTAAGGGCTGCTAGGCTAAGAGCTGTTTCTGCTTGGGTATCATAGTTGCTAGGGAGTAGCTGTGCTGGATGGTTTGTACCAACCCAGCAAACACCTGCTGAAAAGCCGTCTGCCAGGCCAGTAAGCTGGTGCAGAAGCCTTTGTCCAGACACCCCAAGTTTCATCTCAACTGTTTTCCTTCCTTCCCCTGAGATCTGGGGTGGTGATATGGGTAGCAGACTCACGCTGTGCACTTTAAAATTCCCGACTTCTTCCTCCCGGAAGTTTGACTCTTCTGACTTGACTTTGTGTGTTCTCTCCCTGCCCCCTTCACAGGCGGCATATTTTCTATCTCCAGCATTACTTCAGCAGCAGGCTTCCTCACAGCACAAAGCAGGTGTCACCTGCAGACAGTCCTGGGGAAACACGAAATGACTTGCACCTCATCCCTGGGGGCGCCCATCTGTCTCAAGCCATGGAAGTGGATGGACTAAATGACTGTAGCAAGCAAGGCTATTCCCAGGAAACCAAACGCCTGAAGCGGACCCCAGCTGCAGACTCCGTGGGCCTAGAAATGGAGCACAGGTTTATTGATCAAGTGTTATCCACCTGCCGGAATGTAGAACAAGCGAGGTACGCCAACGCATACAGGAAATGGCTGGTCACTTTGAGTCAATGAAAGAAGTGGATTAATCCTGCAAGGGTCCCTTTTAGTGCAATATTGCTTTCCTGCCCCATGGCATAGTTGCATGAACTTTGCTGTTAAGCTGCCTATGTTCCTCTCCTTTAAGATAAAGATCCTTAGAAAATCTTTTATTTATTTTAAGAATTGGCATTCCTTTGGGGATAGAATAATTATATAATTTCTTCCTGCGAATAATCTTATTTTTTTTTTCTTTTTTACTCCTCATCCTTTATATCTGTGGGGCTTCTCATCTGGTTCACAAGTACCTCTGCCCACTTCAGTTCAGTTGCTACATATGCAAATTTTAAATTTAGAATTTATATTGTGTTTCAGCTGAAGAACATTAATACAAATGCAAAAGGACTTGATCTTACTATTGTTATAAAAATCAAATGACTAGATTAATGGATATAGAGAAATATAAACCAATTCTGTATCTCTAGTATGTTCTATTCTAGTTACAGACTAAGACAGCCAAAGTCAAAAGTATTGGAACTTATATCAAAAACTGCCTCCAATGTAATCCATTTTTTTTTAAATGGTTACTTTAAAGGAGGGAGGTATGTAATTGCAGTACTGGAAAATTAATTTTATCACTGTTTTTAGTAGATTGTTTTTACCTCATATTTGGTATATGCCAAAACAGTTGTGTCAGCCCTTATAAATTTGTTTTTAAATCCCAGAATGCATTTTTAGTTATTACTGCCTTTTTCCTTCCATAATCACTCATATAAAGAGAAAAGTATATATAGAAACATATAGAGAAATGTAATAGTAAAAAAGTTTCCTTAAAAATTTAAGTCATTGTGGTTATACTGGATAAACTACAAAATTTTTATCAAGTCCTAATAAACAGTTTGTTGGCAAAAACTAGGGGGAAAGAACAATTTTAGAGATTAGTTCTTTGATTTTAAAAATGAAACAAAACACTTTGAAGCTTAATTTTGTCAGGGATGCCATACCAAAGTGTCCACATTATAGCTATATTCTATCTTTTAGATAACAAGGGCTCAGTTTTTCAGGTGGGCAACATAGGAGTGAAAGAAAGGTCAGGTACGATATCTGTGTTATTATGTTCCCTTCCTTATAAATGGTCTGTCTTTTCTATCCACATACCTTTTTTTTTATTTTGCCAATCTCTTCCATGTTTTTGTCACTTCCACATCTGAATATTTTCTTTCTTCTGTCTTAACTTCAGGGATCCCTACTGAAACTGTCAGCCTCCTCTAATGAGTTTCATACATGTACGCATACACACATGCAAAGCAGATTGGAGTAAGCGCTGCCTCTCTAAAAGTTCCTGCCAGGATGAAAGCTGCCTCTTGTCCTACGTGTGTGTAAAAGGTGAACCATATAGTAGTGAGTGTGACCGCCAGCATTCCCCGTTTTCCTGGTCTGTGGGATGGGAAGAAGGAAGCAGGGAAAGGCAGGCCTTACTCATCTCATTCTTATGGAAAGTCTGGACTTGTTAGGGGTGCTACTTTGAAGGAAAAGAAGTCTGTCTTTTATTTCAGCATCACGGTTTTTGAATGGCAGACTGTTGAAATGAGTGGCACACTTAAGAACACCAGAAAAATGACCTAGCCTAGTTCCAATAGACAGATGTTAGTCTTCTTTCTTAGAGCAAGAAATACTTGTTATAAACTGAGAAAATAATGGCCATTATGAATGTAATTCCGTGGCCCCATTGTACAAAGCGTATTATGAATCAAATACCTCAAGATCTATGTAGACCTGTGGATAAAATCATTAGATGTACGTTTTTCAGCTGCTGTGGGAGTTGGGTAGAAACTGCACAGAGACGACACGGGAGGTTCCATCCATTCCAGTAAAACATGTTGCCGCGTTCTGGCCTTGTTCAGTATCCCAAATGACAGGGCTTCTTATACTTTAATTTGAGTACCTGTAAGGATATGATTGTAGATAATATTATATGAACATTAGCTAAACTGTTATAGTTCTCCATGCCTTTTTATACCTTTCGTTCAGTAGTTCTCAGTATCTTGCCCATCTCTCATAGTCTGCCTTCGTATCTTCTGTGGCTCTGCCCACCACTTTCTGAAGCCATGGAGTCCTTTAGTATATCTTGGTCTCTTTGTCTTCCTAAAAAAGTTTTAAGTAGGGAGTGAAAAATATAAATATCCAAAGGATACTGTTAGTATGTGACTTTTGTGTGCCACTTTATTTCTCAAATATGCATTTCTTGAGTGTTCGTTCCTTCTCACGAAAACTTACAATTGCCCTATATGACTGTGGTTTTCTTCCTAAGTGCTTGACATGTAAACTAACTTAATAATGTATCTTTGACTAGATGAGTTCATGCAGTAAAAAGCATATATCTATTTTCAGGGGCTTGTTAGTCTTACTTTTCAGAAAATGTGTAGTTGTTAAAAGATGGACACACATTTGGTCAGATTTCACTGGACGAATATCAGGTCATCATACCATCCTGTGGGTCCTGAATACTACTGACAAGTAAAACGTAATGAGATCTGCAACTGTGGCCACTGAAACACCTGCTCTATCTTCTTTTTTTTTTCCCCAGCATATCTATGTTGGTAATAAATCGTTTCCATATTCTACCATGAGCCTGGCACACTGTGTGGAGTTACTAAGTATTTATTGATCACTGATTAACTATCTGAAGAAAGGAAAGATTAGCCATGAGTGATAGGTAGATGATGATGGAGAAAAATGAATGGGTTGTGGTAAAGGATGTCTTCTAGCTTCCTGATGTTTACGGAGGTCTATCACATGCCAAATAAGTTCATTCAGGTTTGTTTTCTTCATCTTATTATCTTGTTTTAACTTGTTAAATCCCAGCCAACAAATGTATATCTGGACTTATCAGTTGAACTTCAGTGTTTATTAAAAGCTTATAGAGCAGATGAAACCCACTTGTATCAAGAATACTGCTTTCTCATCACTTACAATGGTGGGAACCACTTTGGGCAGAAAGCAAATAAATTCTTTGATTGTAGTGACTTAGCTTGAAGCATTGTATGCTGCTTTTTTTTCTCTCCAACTTGAACTGTGGACCTTTTAGATACTTCTAAACCTGAGTAGTTTTTTAAGATTAAAGATTTGATACATAGTAATATGTCCCTTAGAAATTCTGAGCCCAGATTCCAATCATGTTTCTTATTTCTATGGGATGGTTCTAATTTAAGTTAAAGGCTTCAATCTTTTTGCAATGCTTGAAGCAGGGATTGTACCCTGATTCATTAATTATTAATAGGGACTGATGTATACAGATTATCTTTGGAAGCTACTTCTGTCTTCAAATAAGGCCTCGTGTGACTTCAGTGGTAGAGACAAACGTTTTGAAGCTTTTATGGAAAGCATGTATGGTAAGCATTGTGTAATTTAGATGTACTCAGATACCAGTTGATGCTTAGTGTGTGTGTGTGTGTGTGTGTGTGTGTGTGTGTGTGTGTATGTGTGTATAAAGAGAACTTGTATATTGCTACAAATCGTCAGTCTTAGAATTTTCCTTTATATAGCACAAAGTGGTATCTTACAATGGGCTAACTGCAATTTAAAACTGGAATTACCAGTTGCTGTGTAACATTTGCTACCCTGGTACCTTTGAATTATGGAAGATGCTAACATTTTAGTTGTAAAAGGAAGTAACAGAATTTTTTTTCTTTTTTTTTCAAAAAGACCTTTTAAATTTATTGTTACTTTGTTACTAGAAAATTATATTTTAATACTTTCAGGTATTTATAGTATGCTAAGAAATTTGAATAACTAGGCCTTTTGCCTTTTGAATGCATTTTTCAAATAGACCCACAAACTATAGCACTTTTTGTGCTATCACAGCTCTGTGCTCTGTAACAAACTCCTGTATATTAGAGACCTTTGTAAAGGCACTGAAAAATTTAAACAGGTTCAGTGTCATTAAGGCCGTGAGCAAGAAAATAAGCCCCAAGAATTTTACTTCTGTCACACAGTGTCTTTCAGAAAATAGCTTATACATACTGTGTTAATTTGAGTGCCTTTCTTACTTTTGGGAGAAGCAAGATTATATTACATCAAAGTTAATGTTTAAGTAGAAATCAGAGTATGAAAGTTTTCTCAAATATCTGATTATGGCTGATTATTTACTTATCCCCATAGCTAGGCATGGTCCATGGGGTATTATATGACACACTGATTGAAGAAGGTAGGACCCTAATGCATTCTATTTAATTAGTTAACATTTGTGGGCACTGTGTCAAGTAGTTCTTTTCCTCTGACAACTAACATGTTGGGGTTAGAAACATCACATTAGAGGGTGATGACACGCACATGACATGCACAACTCCATGCAGCCTGAGCCTGTGCAGCATGTGTTCAAAAGAAAACTGGCCCCTGCCTCCCAATAAACCTCAGATGGCTGTCCTAGGTGAGTCCTTTGCCTTACTTTAAGGATCTTCCTTTCTTTCCAGATTCAGCATGATATAGGATAGTCAAGGAGTGGGGGTGTCTTTGTTGTTTTTTTTTTTAGGTATCAGAAAAAAACACTGAGATAGAATTCTAAATGCATCATTTTATATATTTGTGTATGAGGGAGAGGGATGAGAATTTCATATTTCACAACTACAAATAGTTCCATGTTGTAATTTCATAAAAATATAGTTAAGATTCCAAAGTGCTTTACAGAAATTCCTTCAGCACGTATTCCTAAAGGGCAGTGATATACCGTGTTCATAGTGAAGACAGAAAACCAGTGTAGCCATTGGGCCTCTGGTGTTGGAGGAGAAACCTCAGGCTCCCAATTGTAACTTCTCTACTCTTACCGGGCCATGGTAACACTATACAACCAAACTCTTTGCTAAAGTACATATATATGGCAGTAGTTTAGTCTGCTGGTCAAACATTGTGCTTCCAAGAATATTAGCTGTAGAGCATGTGTGCTTTATGGACAATAACAGGATCCACAAAGCTAACCCTGACGTTTCTTTTATTGGCCTGTTGTTATTCCTCAGGGTGTAAAAGATGTAGTCAATTTAGAACAAAATTTTATATTTAGTGACAAAAAGAGAAGCAAAAATATGTTAACTGTATTACTAGCTCTTAGCATTTTAATATGTATAGTATTTTTTATAAACCACTACCAGCAGAGTCGCTAGTAGATGCTCTATGACTGCCTCATGTTCACCTTGCTGCTTTAGGCCCTGTGGCTCTTCTGGGAACATTATCTTACATGTGTCTTCCATGGGATTGTTTCAGCATTATATTTCCATGCTGGGAGGTGGGCAAGGTCGTATCTGTTTATTTGACGTCCTTCTCAATTTTCAGCCATCCCACTGAGGAAAATGATCACTGTTTGTCTTCAGTTTGACCCCTGTTTGACCACCATTTTGCTTCCTAGACTTCTGCTTCCCTGAGAGTTCTGTGTGCAAGTCTGGTACGTGTTGAACACATTGCATAAATGCCTTGTGTGGTGCAGGGTCAAGTAGAACAGATAAAAACTAGAGCAGGAAACTAGCTGTGTCTCATTATCTGTATTCTTATGGTATCTCCAAGAGAGATGCTCCCATTTTACGTGAAATACACAGTCAGATTCAGATATACATGATAAGGACACACAATTTTAAAACATTGCAAGTGAAATGTAAATGCCTCTAAGGTAGCTAAATTAAAGTGTCTACACACACATAACACATTTTGAGCTTCAGTTCATCTGATGATTTTTACAAAGAACTTTACCCAAAGAAATTTTATTTTTGCATTTTAGCGTTCGTAGGTCAATTTTCTTTACTAGGTCAGCCCCCTCCAGCAAAGTTGGGAGTATAACGGAGGTACCGGTTTGCCCTGATTAGACAGTTGTACAGCATAAACTGCATGGTAAGTCTTTAGTGGTTCACACATCATATAGTCTAGTTTTTCTTCCATAACTTCAGGGAATCAACCTTAATTTTATGTCTGCCAGTCACTTTCCTTAAAGTACTATGCAGCATACATTAGATTGTTTATGTTTGTAATGTGACTACATAATACATTTGATTATCTTTTGTGTCATAAGGATTTATGATTTCATATGTCCAAATGTTGACTCAGACAACATTCTATCAGAGATGCTTATACTGGGGCTGAGGATTTAGCTCAGCAGAATAGGCGCCTGCCCGGCAAGTGCGAGGTTGTGAGTTGGATCTCCAGTACCAATAAAAAAAAGAAAAGAAATACTCATATGTTGTCCTTCCTTATCAAAGTAATTCATTCAAAGCAGGTATTTTTTTCTCACTTGTTAAGAATGAATATAGACTGAGTACAATCATGGTAGGTGCTCAGTAGATAATTGATTATTGATCAGTGAGCTTGTAGCAGTTTCAGAGACCATTGTCATCTTGTCACTGAGAAATATATTGTAGAGTAATATATGTGTGCAACTGAAAAATCCTTTCACTTGACATGAATTATTAGAGTTTTTAGAATAGAGTTAGTAACATGTAATTAAAGCATTGTTAATATACATGGTTTGAAAATAGGAGATGTGAAAAATTGTAAGTTATTGTATCTTCCTGTGTGAGACACATTAATAAATGTGATGAAATGAATGTCTTAAACAGGCAGCTGAACTCTTAAGAAAAACCTGTAGTCTTCTGCAGTTTCTGTACTGGTATGCCCGTACCATGTAGTTTAGATTATTTTTATTTCTCCTAAATCCTACTTGCTTCCCAGTGTCATGGTAATGGTAAAATACAAAGGTATGTTAACTAACTGCCTACTGACTTACTTTCCCAGGGCATCTTTGACATGAGGAAGAAGTTTTTACGAATAACACAGTACTGTAGTTTCATTATCTGTTCATTTGTGACTTTCAGAGCTATTGTGTCGGTATAACTAACATAAAAAGATTAAGCAGTTTTTGAAAACATTCCTACCTGAGCTGTGAGGAACCAATGGTATATTATGAGTGTAATTAGACACTGGCTGAGTAGGGAGGCTCTTGATGCATGGCTGATGTTGGCTTTTGACTGAAGTGATCACTGTGAGTATTGCATCTTGACATATCATGTTCTAGGAGAATAATGAGTTGTGTGCTAGATTAACTGAGTATTTTTCAGTTGGCAGGAAAAAAAAAAAGGACAAAGTATTATATATAGGCCAAGTATTTATATACTCCAAAAGCTTAGAAAGGGGGAGGGGAGAAAAAGCAAAAACCAATAATGATATTTTTAATAGCCTCTAAATTTTTTTTAATTGGTAATGGGGATCAAACTCACGACCGCCTGCTTGCAAGGCAGGTGTTTATGCCGCTGAGCTAAATCCCCAGCCCCAACTTCTAAATTTTTTTAATCCAAGTTTCTTGGACAAGTAGTTGCTTAGTTCAATAGTAAGGGACTTTTAAGGGAAAGGTCATAAATTGGAGTTTTAAGATTGTCTTGTAATTTTTGAGTTTTAAGATTGTCTTGTAGTTTTTCTTCATATAGACTGGCTACATGTATAATCTAATGCAGGTCAGATCCAAGATACAAAGATTAGTTTACCTAGCCTATTTTATCAATGATATTAGTTGTTTTCACTAATTGCACTGCTGCATTTCTGAAATTTGTTTTCCCCCAGTATAGTAGCAGTCTGCATTGAAGTTCTTTCATAGTGGTTGGTATTTTCCAAGGATTATGTATTTTGTAAAATCTTAAAATTGCTGAGGAACCAGCAGAATAAATTTTTCGGTAAGTTTTATGCAAAGTGTACTCAGCAGTGTTCTGGGGGGTAATACCCCAGAGTGCCTAAATGATGGCAAATTCTGAGGCCAGTATAATGATTATATATTATCCATACCTGTACTATTCAATAGAAATATAATGTGAACCAAAAGTAATTTTTAATCTTTTAGCTAAAATAAGAAAGGTGAAATTTATTTCAATGTGTAATCAATATGAAACCTTATTAATTGGATATCCTACCTTCCTTGTCTCCATATGTAAGATGTAGTGTATATTGTGCAGCCCCAGCTCATCTCAATTCTGACTGGCCACACTTCCAGTACTCCACAGCTGTGTGGCTGGGGGCTGCTATGTTGGACAGTGCCGATTGTAGAGAGTACAATGAATGTCTCTGTTTCAAATTTGGAAGTGATAGGCATGAGATTTTGGCATTTTAAAAAGTGAGTGTTTAGGAAAGCATTTAGTAGAATTACCACTTGTTTTCCTTCATCTTAAAGTTACTCTAGAAATAGAATCAACCCATTCTAGTTTGCCAAACATACTTTTAAGGTGGAATAATTCCATGCTGTGTAAAATACCGTGAAATACTGATTATAACAACACATTCATAACACAGTTTTCAGTTGTATTCATTAAATTCTGTCTTGTTTCTTCAAAATAATAGTTTAACTTGCATGTTAATTGTGTATCTGTACCTTCTTTATTTTTGTATTCTTACAATGTGTATTAACCAGCAGCCCTAGGATTCTAAACTTTCTATGCAGTTGTCTTCCAGTACTCACTGGTATACTTATTATATGATGATAAATGGCAGAGAAATAGAAGAACCATTCTTTTCTCCATTAGATTTATTTTTAACACGTGACCATGTACCAAGCCAGCTATAAGTTACTGTGTTTGTGTAAGTAGAAAGAAATGTTTGTCTTATCTTTACTAAATGTCTTCAATTTTTAAGTAAACTTTTCATCTCCTAAATTGAGTGTTACGTGTGATTTTATTTTTATTTATGGTGGTACTTTGTTCCAATATGCCAAACACTCTGGTTGAATTGCTTTGATAGTGATACAGGGAGTGGTGAGGAATCCTGTTGTTTAAGTGAAACCAATACTATAACTTGTCTATATGTGAAAAAGAATAAATGTCACTTGTGTCTAGGGCAAGCAAGAAATATCAGAAGCAAATTAGAGACATTGCCATAATTGTCTTTAAATCACAGCAAGTGATTGAGTGCAAAAAGTCATGACTAACTTTGCTTAAATATTTTGAATGAAGACATAGGATAGAACTTACTGTTTTATTTACTGTTATATCCTTTGTTTTTTAAATTTTAAGTCTCACCACTATATGTTGTAAGCCAGAAACATCACAATTGCTTACACTGTGTAGTACATAAATAAATCCCTACAACTATGTGATGGAGGAGATGCTTATACTTTAAACACATCAGGAGGGCGTTTTGTCTCTTGACTATTTTATATTTTAAATAATGTACTACAATTAGAGGTTTATTTTGCATTATCAGCCACAAAAAATTTAGGGTTTATAATAGTATTTTATACTACAATACAGGGGAAGGAAACTAACTTAAAATCATAATTCGAATTAAGCAAATTACCCAAGTTTGACAAGCAATATTAGCAAAATGCATCCTTGTGAAATTGCTTAATAATACATTTGTTTACATGCTACAGAAGACGCACTGGCCAGTTTGTTAACATGATCATTTTGTCACTCATCTATGTTTAGCAGATATATCATTTTCCTCATGTTGAAAGCTCAGTTTTACTTTTGGCTCTGTGTTATTTTAAACAAAAGAAGTCTATGTTTAAAGCGATATGCAAACAACATAGCTGCTGTGTAGTAGTTATTTCCAAACAGCCTGCTTGGGCATCAGCTTTTAAGTTATAGTATTTCCTTATGAGAAGTACAGCTTGATGTGTCCTGTGTCAGCAGAACCTGTGGGAGAGCTGCTTCCCAGTCTGAGCTTTAAAAAAAGAAGCAATAATTTGCATAATATCTTCCTTCACAGAAAGATTCTTAGATTAATCCTGGCTATCACAATTCTACTCTTCTATCCACTCTTCATGATATGAGCAAACTAATACTTTTCGAGCATTAAAATATACTGATACACTAAAGTTTTATGTTAGATTCTTCATACACTTCTCATGCTGTTGACAACATAATCCACAAGAGATCTGTTTTCTGTGTTAAACCAGGAGCTACCTGGTTTAAATGGACCTTCAACATACTGTATGCTCATATTTCTTAAATTCCTAGTCATTTTACCAGCACACTTGAGAAAATACTGGACATCCATAAATAAATGGGGTTGATGAAGCACCAGTCACTACATATGATTTATTTTCAGGCAGATTTCATATTCTCCACTTAAGATCCCTTGGGTAAAAGTAATAGCCAGTTCTCTTTTATCCTCAAGCCTTTTTTTAGAGAATAAAACAAAACAAAGCAAAAAAAAATAGCTAAGCAGATAAGAGCAAAACAATACAAATAACAGGATTTCAGAACAAGACAACAGGAAATCAACAGTGGCTACCATAATGTCTCTTGTTTTCTTTAAAATAGTTGTCCATACCTTCACACACATGAGTTAATACAAAACAAAATTCTATAACAACAATCAAGGAAGAATGAGAGCCTTATGGTCCTTCAAAACCAGACAATAGGAAATTAATAATGCCTACCATAATGTCTCTTAAAATAGCTGTTCATACCTTCATGCATACTGAAATCAAATAATTGAAAGCAGACTAAAGCCAATCAAAATCAAGAATAAACACATTATTGGACTTCAAACAAAATGATAGGAAATCAGCAATGGCTACCATGTCTCATTTTCATCAGTGTAGCTGTTCATACCATCACACATAATAAAATCAATTCTTGTAAACTCTTTAAATGAAATTCTAGGCATATATAAGCCTATACGTGCACCTCTATCCTTTCTGAATTGGAGAGGAAAAAACAACAATTATAAGAAAAACAAGAAACAAGAACCAAATAAAGAGCCCAAAACAATAACAATGTAGACTTTCAAAACAAAGTGGAAGGAACATAACAAATTTTGTTTTGATAGTTATCTTCAAAAGTCCTACTGGTATCACCAGATTCGAGTCAGACAAAATTGATTTAATCCTATGAATGCTCCAACAACTAATAGAATTAGTAGTACAATCATCTTAGTAATCTTAAGTGTATATGTATGAATTTATATCTTTTTTTTAATTTTATTTAAGGAGAAAAGAATAAAAAAAAGCAGGGAAAGGGTACAAGTTATACAGATTTACGGAAAAAAAATGAACAGTAGGAAATCACTAGTTAATGGATTACATATTGTCATCTTAGAAATAATTGTTCAAGTCATAAAATAAAAGCTTGTAAAGTGGACATTCCATCAATGATACTGCAAACAGTTCTGTTCAATGATCCAATAAAACTCTGTGATATCATTTTCTATCTTATACACTTGAATATACATGCAGTTATATAGTTTGGAGCACTTTCTTTTCCTCTCTTTTGTACCATGACTATTACACATTTTGGGTTTCATTGCTCCCACGGTTCTTATTACTTTTTTGGAAGAGAGTAAAACCAAATGTGACATAACAGAACAGAATCGGTCAAGTCAAAAGGGTGGACATAATAATGTAAAAACATAATACAAGGTGATCAACAATGGTTACCATAATGCCTCCCGCTATCTCTAATAGAATTGCCTATATCATTAGTTATAATACAATTGAACAAAACAGTAAAGAATAAAACCGACAAAACCAAAACATTGGAGACATTGTAGGTCTTCAAAAGTAGATAAAAGTCAACAAGAATGGGCGTCATAATGAATCTCATTATCTTCACAGCTGATGCCTAAACTTTCGAACCTGATACTATCCAGCAAAACAGAATAGGGGAACATCAGTTAAAAACCAGATGGTGAGAGTAATACAGGGCTTTAAATCAAGGTAATGAAAAGTCAAAGTGGGTTACTATAATATATCCTGCTATTTTTTTCCTTTAATTAAAAGGATAAAGATAAAAAAGTAAATAATGGAGTGGAGATTGAGATAAAAGAGGGCATAACAACGAAACAGCGCAGATCAAAACATAACCATTTAAGCAGAATAGTGTTTCACCACCAGATAATCCTAACCTAAAAGTAGTTACCATATTGTCTCTTTCTTTGAAATCCTTGAGTACAACTTTGTATACTGTAGCATTAAGTATATCAAAACAATGTAAAACCATTCAAGAGAATGACAGCATTACAGAGTATTTAGAATCGACTAACAGAAAATGAACAATGGTTTCTGTATAATCTCCTTGTCTGTAAAAGGTTTTTGCTTATACTATTGTACATAATAAAATCCAATAAGATTCAGCCTATTTAGACCATTGGAGACAGAAGGACAAAAGCTAGATGAGACTTCAAAACAAGATGATACTAAATCAGTATTACCTATTAAGATGTCATTTTCTCCAAAATAGCTGTTCCTATCATCCAATCTTCTCTGCCTCATTTCTGTTGAGCTCTTTTTCTGTCAGTAGCTGTCAGTTTGTCTTCTTCATTTTGTTCTCTGCTCCATTTGTTGTGGCCTCTCTGCCATTATTTCTGGATTCTTTGTATTTTTCTTTTTTTAGAATATCCTGCAATACTCTCTGTAGAGTTGAATTGGTGGTTGCAAATTCCCCCAGTTCCTCTTTATCCTGGAAGCACCTTGTTTTTCCATCAATTTCCAGGGACAGTTGTGCAGGATATCTCAATCTTGGCTGGAGATTATTATCTTTCAAAGCTTGAATTATTTCCCCCCATGCTCTTCGTGATTTGATGGTTTGTGCAGAGAAATCTGCTGTAATTCTGATGGGTGTTCCCTTGTAAGTGGTCTGTTTCTTGTCTCTGACAGCTTTTAATATTCTGTTCTTGTACTGAATTTCTGGAATTTTTATTATTATATGCCTGGGTGTAGCTCTGTTTGGGTTGTAGGTAGCTGGGGTCCTGTATGCCTCATACATCTGAGTATCTTTACCTTTTGCTAAATTAGGAAAATTCTCCTGGATTATTTCTGTGAGTAGCTTTTGTAGTTCACTTGCTTGTGTCCCTACTTCTTCTTTTATGTTCTTAATCCTTAAGTTATGGATCTTCTTATCATCTTCTTGTCTTTGTATTATTGCTGTTTGTTTCTTTGTTATTTTTAAGAAGTTTTTCATTTCATTCTCCCATATTACAAGTCTGCCCTCCAGTTCAGATAGTCTGTCCTTAGTTTCTTTCAAGCTGTTATGCCAGTCTTCTATAGACTTCTTAGTATCTTGGTAGTCCCTTTGAACCTGCTTCACGTATTCTATGCTTTCTCTGTTTTCTCCATCAAACAATTCTCCCCTTTTTTTCTGTTCTTCCATTCCACCACCTGTTTTTTCTTGGGTGGTACTTAGCATTTCTCTAACTATTCTGCATACTTCTAGCTTCAGGTCGTTGATAACTTCATTCCTGAATTGGTCTATGAGGCTCTCTATATGGCGCCTTATGTGTATTGGTTCGGTGTCTGCTATTGCCTGTTTCCCAGAATTGGGGGCCGAGGAGCCTTTCTTGTTACTGCCTCTTCCCATATTCTCTGTTCCTTATATATGCAAGCTTATATGAGAGGCCCAGCTTCTCTCCCAGTCAGCCACAGCCTGATCGAATTGTGCCGGTTAGGTGTTCCCGCTCACTGCTGCGCACCAGGGAGTTACGGACCAGGCAGCCTACGTGTCTCCCCTCCCGGCCACCATCAGGCTCTGGGATCTGGGTTGGGACAGCCTACCAGGTCCGCCGGCAGCATCACGCAGGCCAGGCACTTTTCACCAATCCCGCCCGAGAGGGGGATGTGTGGCTGGAGTCACCACCGCGCCCTGCTCCAGCAGGACTGCTCGGGCCCAGAAAGTCCTCTGCTGGAGTCAAACTGTGGTGGAGTGTCAGTTTC